GGGAGTTCCCCTTCGATTTTAAATATAGAATGTCAATTTTAATTTTTGTTTTTTATTCGAATAAAATTAAACTAACTCTAATTTTTAAAATATTATAAAAGAACAAATTGTTTTTAATGTCTCACATTCTATTAAAAACAAAACACAGACACACAGTCTTGAAGTAAACAGTAAACAAAGGATATTTTAGCACTTTGACCACAAAGCACTTTAGTGTTCAATTTTATGACAACCCGCTCCTTTGCGAGTAAACACAAAATAAATTCTAATGAGAAAATATTCAAGGTATGTCTTAAGCCTTTTCTTGTAGTTATATTCATCTCTAACAAATTTCTAAACTGTCAATGTTTCTTTTTAAATATCCGTAGAGATTTTTTTTTGCAACAAATCAAGTCGACTTAATCGAAACAATATAATGATGACGTTTAATCTCAATGAACACCATTCTTAGAATATGTCTGAATGTTAAATAAAAGATTTTAAAAAAATACCTTTACAGGGTCAGTGTCACACTGCAACATCATTGATGCACAAGAAAAAAAAAACAAAACTATAACAAAACTTCGTAACAGTACAAATCATTTGCTACTGGCAAAAACTAACCGGAGATAAATGACACGTGAAATGACACAAGTATGAGATAAAGTTTAAGATAAAACATCTGTAGATAACAACTGACTGAAAACAACAAACATTTTGAATTGTTTAAAAAAAGAATACTGAAATTGACAGGCCATGCTTACAATCTTTATAAATGGATATGACAATGCTTGGTAGTAACTTCGTTTGCTCCGATCCAATTTACATTCGCTTAATATGTTGAAATTCCTTATAGGTAATTCTACCTGTGTTATCAGTTCGAATCCTCGCCATCGCTTCTAACCGCAACCGTCAACGTCTAAATGGCGAAAATCAAATAGGCACAAAAATCATGTTTTATAGCCTATCCATATGTATAGGGGTCACTGCAAGCCATAGATAAGGAAATGTTATTGGCGGGAACTACGGAATTATGACACATGTCACAGTGTCGCCAACTGGGCAATAAATAGGGAAAATCCCGGTTAAATAAATAAGTAAAGTTCCTTTTTAATAAAGTCGACAAGTAAATTGCTGTTATATATACCTTTTAGAATTAAAATTTATCCTCTACATTGGCCATTCGATCTTTAGGCTTATATTTATGATCTATACAGTTAATAAAATCGAGTATCTGTCTGTAATATCAAAATTATATTTAATATTTATTGTACATGGTGTATTTGCATTACTTATAAAGAAAAATCATTTTTTAATTTTTGTTTGTCTGTCTGTCTGTTATCTATATAATCTCCGAAACGACAAAATTATTTTTTAAATTCTAACTTGTCGAAGTCATAAGCAACAGCTAGTGTTCAGATAAATCTTTTAAGCCCTTATAGTCAATGGTAATCAAAGCAACTCTAGTAACTGGCATAGATAATGTTGCGGTCTAATTCAAGGAGGTTTCTCTACGACCATTAATAACGCCTGTGTCGGTGGCCAACGAAAACGTTTCCTGTCATTACCTTGCCTACCGTAATAGTCGGAGAACACACGCCTCTCTTGTTACTGGCCGTTTGATCTTATAAGGGTGTCATAAAATTAATTTATGATATCATATGATACCTTTATGGTCTTTGGTTTTACCACGAAACATTACTTTTATAGGATTATAAATAAAAGTTGAATATTCCATAAACAACGGTTGAATTTCTTACAAACCTATAACATCCTATAACAGCCTAGAACTTCGGAGATAAATAAATGGTCATAACCTACAAAAAACTAGATAGACTATTAAAGTTTTTTTCAATTGTTTAATGCTTCAAGAAAATTCGATGAAGTAACCTGCTCTTTCATTATCGTTATAGTATAGTCTCGTCCTCAGGACAAATAAGGTTGTGCTGTAAAATCTAGATCTACGTGCATCCTCGCGCAGGCTATCATTGTCGGCCTCCTGCATTCAATGACACGCTAATTAAAAAGCCAATCGCCTGTACTTTCTAAATACAACCACACTGTTTAATTTATTATATAGAAAGTTCACTGTCTTATTTCCATTTAAAGTATACTACTACTAAGTTAATACGATGAATCTTCATGGGTCAAATAAGTGAATGTTTTTCCTAATGATAAAGTGTATTTCAGAATACAGAAAATTTCCAAACTGTCGCTCTCAGATACATTAAGTGGTGACTATAAGAGCCAATTAGTGTAGATACCTCAAAGTCTTTAGTACAAGCACTTCTTATATAATATTACATATCGAATTTATATTTAATCTGATTTTAAATGCTTCATTTACATAATTCTCGTGACCGTTAGATTAATAAGTGGTCGACATCCATACGCCCGGCTCCAACCCGGGACTTTTACAGGTCGGGAAATAATTTATAACGAAACGATTAACCGCCGATTAAATGAAACGCAGTCTCACACGAGCGTTGCGGTCTGCGGCAACCACGTCAGGACTGTTTTATATGTATAACATAATTAGCTGTCGCCCGACTCGAAAAAATCTTAATTAGTAGCCTTTGTGTTCTTCCAGACTATGTTCTACATCCATGCTAAATTTTAGCGATATCAATGCCGTTTTAGAAATACCTTGTAATAAATATCTATCCATACATGCAAATATTCGCATTTATAATATTAGTAAGAAGTATGATATTAAGACATTATGTATGCCTTATGGGAACATATTTCAAATATAATTTTCATACAGTTCTGATATCACTAAGACATGGCTAATTGACTAATTGAACTTGCTCACTGTTGATTTAGTGGTGTCTTCAATTTGCAGAAATCATTGAAAAAATTTCGCACAACACCAAAACGTTAGTCTGAATCAGCTCTAATATTAGCAATTTTCATTGCCATTTACGCTTCACAACCTAGAGCTACTGATAGTACGTATTAATTATAATGGACCCGTCACCCCAGTCGTAGTTAGTCGACCCAGATCCGCTCGAGAAATGCAAATGCACCCCGCGCAATGCATTATAATGCCACCTCACCTGCGCAATGACCACTCGCAAACGATATGGTAGTTTCACATGAAGACAGCACAGTAAGCCAGTGCAGTAGTACTACAGTAGTAGTATTTTTTGAAAGCAAACGCCCGAATACAAGAGTACTACAGATTTATATAAAGGCATATTTATTACAACTCTTTGAAAAAGGTCAACTATACATTTTAGTAAATGTCAGGCAGTCCAATTGTCGTATTGCACTGTCTACTGTCCTGGCTCACTGTGCTACCCTCGTGTGAAATTGCATAACGGAGTTCCGCGCTGCCTCTGACACATTTGTGGAATTGTATAATAATGTGTAGGTTTACTTCCGCCTTCTGCTACGTCTCCCTCACCTTGAGCTATTCATGCATCTCGCATCGCTAATCAACTCATGGTTTCCTGGTAGCACAGACATATATAATAACAAGTTATATCTTCTCTTATTACATAAGAAGAGATTTTTTTACTTTATTAGTTTTTTTTACAATATAATATTTTGATGCTGGTAACACTAAACCTCAAAATACCTAATAAGCTGACCAAAATTGACAACTTATTTGCCTATATGTATGCTTACTTTATCTAATACTAGGTGTCGCCCGCGACTCCGTCCGCGTGGATATATAAGAAACTTAATTAGTGTAGCCCACCCATACATCCATCCACATCACATCCATTTAAACATTCGCATTTATAATATTAGTAAGTTAAAACAAAAGCAGCTCTTCAAGGCATAAACTCGAGAGAAAAAAATTAGGAAAAAACCTCCTCACCAATTTTCAGCCATATCGGTAAAGTCTTTCTTGAGTTATAAATAGTGTAACTAACACGACTTTCTTTTATATATATATATATATAGATTATAAATGCGAATGTTTAGATGGATGGGTGGATGAATATTTGTTTGAAGGTATCCCCAGAACGGCTGTACAGATATCGATGAAATTTGGCATACGTATGGAACATATTCTGGTCGAACATAGGCTACTATTATAATTGTGTTTTCTTTCACTTCGCGTCGATGAAGTCGCGAGCGACCGGTAGTATGTTATATGTATAGGCACGCAAAACTTGATGCTATAATATTTTCAATACGAACATTCATTTAGTAACTGCAACATTATGAGCAGTACAGAAATGTTTACAAAATGTTCACTTCAGATAGATGTCGTGTTACATAACACGCTAATGTTTTTATTTGAACTGTCAATTGTCAGCTCCGTCTTGATTGGAAAACATTTGAGCGTGGTGGGCGCCGCACCAGGAAATGCCGTGAGAAAACTCTCAGTTATGTACACAATTATGTATTTACATACGCACTCCTACATGTCGATTCTAAAATGTGCAATCATAATATTTATATTATTTACTTGGATTCGTAGTAAAGTAGCTATAAGTACTATATACTATTGAAAACAACATAAATAGCATAGAATTAATTCGATTTACAAAAGGATCAAGTATTTTATCCTTTGACATAAAGGCAACGGCAACACTTTTTTGTCTATGGGTCATGGTTATGGTCTATGGTCATTAGTTGAACCGCCAGATGTTTTTTTAAAAATTCAATATGATTGCAGTAACACTAACATGTTGCATTTCTCACAGTTACGATGATTATGTGTTGTTAAGTAAGAAAATTACAAAGTGCGTCGTCACTTTCGATTTCATTCCAACAGATGGAGAAAGCGTAGTTTATTGCTAAACACTGTTACTGACCTTAAGGGTCAGCTTGTCAACAATGGTAGAGCCAGAAACAACATCTGTTACCACATACCACGACCACACAGATGAGAGGCGTCAAGTGGAAATGAATCCGCGATTCGTCTGATGATTGTGCGTGTCGGTGTCGTGTCCTAATTTTAGTCCTCTCACCTTCCATCCTTTTGCTATAAGGATAAGATAGGTAGGGAAATATTAACTACTTCAAATAAAGACATATAAATATTAAGGAATACTGAAACAACCATTTATTTCAAACGTTATAATTCGCGTATATTAGCACGTTACGAGCACAAACCTAAAATAGTGTTCGTTTTGCTCAATGACACAAAAACATCAATAGATGGCGTTGAACCATGCTAAAACTCCTGTACATATGTGAAACGCTTTGTATTAAAAATTGGACGATTATAAATCTGTCACTAGATGGCGTAGTTTTTTTCGTCTGGTGCACTTGAACAATTAACAAGTCAGACGCTAGATGGCGTTGTCACTAACTCCTATTGTATCTGTTGCCCCAACCACGGCGATGGTCGTCCTTGTACTCGTCCATGTTGCGTTGTCGCTCCAGCTCCTCGGGATCGTCCTCCTCGATGAGACGCTCCTAAAGCACGTATGAAAGTATTAAAAACAATCACACGCTAGATTTAGGACGCAGGAGTAGGAAATGTAATAAAGATATAAATATAATTCTAAACTCACCTTGTGTATTTGTTCCGCCTCATCCTGATCCGTCTCCGCAGATTGTATCCTAGTATGAGGTATGTTTGGCCCGGGGAATCTGCAAATCAGCAACAATTACATTAAATAAAAAACCTTATTTTGATAAGCATAGAGGCGTAATTTAATATATACTTACGTTCCCTCCTTAACTCGTTTATCATAGAATTCCTCCACAGTCATTGTGGGCAGGGAGGGGTAGCCAGCGCCGAACACCGCCTTCTGTATCGCATCGCGGGTTATTATCACTGGCTTCAGTGGCGCTGACCGCTCCTTCTGTCTTGGCTTCGGTTCTAAAAGCAAAATATAATTAAAAACTGGATCACAGATTCTCAACTATTTCCCTTTCAAAATTTACCTATTTTCGATGAACCCGCTGCTAGTGTATTTCAATTGTTAATACTTTTATTTCCTACCATCGTGCACCCTCATCGAGGTCTTTTTTTTGTTTTTCATGAACAATTTTCTACTCTTAATTCCTTATGCATCAAAAGTCGGAGTTTAAAAACATATCAACATTCAAACTTATAAAAATGTTTATTTACCTCCACTATGTTTCGCCATGTATTCTAAGATGGGTTTCTCCTGTTCAATACTGGCCAGTTCGTCCACTGCTTGATTGATATAATGCAGTAGCATTGTCTTAGCGTATTCCCGCTTTGTCTCCTCCTCCACGCCGACCAATGACATCGCTTTAGACAGATTTGTTAATTTATCTTTTAACTCTTTAGCCTCTTTGTATCTCTTGATCTTTGCTTCTCTTGATTGAACCTGCAATTCATATTTTTTAAGAAAAATTGTAATATCTTGGAACTACTAATGCTATCTATTTTCAGTTAAAAGGTCATTTGTTTTAAATAAAAAAATCTTTTTTGACCTAAATATAAATCGATTTTATTTTTTGTAAGCACTTAAGTAAGTTTTAATACTTGTTTACTTTAGAGTTATTACTTATCTGTACTTACCATGCTGGTTATTTTAGCTATTTCACTCTGTGGTCGGGTGCTTATGGTTTGTGTTTCATTTTCACTGGGTGACACCATCACATCTGTGAGGCCGTAATCTTTGCATCTTGTTAAAAAATCTCTGCAAAACAATGAAGATAACACATTTATATTGTTCTAAAAATTAAAATTGAAATGAAAGTAAAATAAGTTACAAGTTCATAATTTTATATCATTTATAATTAAGCACAAGGAATAGGTTTCTTTTAAATGTTGTGAACTATTAAAATTTATAATGCAAGAGAAATTGTAGGGATTTATAGTCAAGCAGGGTTATCTAGCCCGTTGAGACAGGCTTTGCTATTGATTGGATTTGTCAGAAAATATGTAAAACCTTTATCTATATAGGTAATGTCAAAATGAAAATTAATGACATAGCAGCCAGTGGCGCCAGTAAGCTTTCATAATTATGTTTGAATTAGGCCCACTGGTCATATAACTTTTTAGTCTATAATTGTTCTAATAACCTTGAAAAAAATATTATATACATCTGGTGACTGGCCAGTAATATTTTATTTTAAAAAAAGAATAGTGAAACTGAAACATACTTAAAATAAACTTCAGCGACATCTATGATATCCTTCCTGGGTCTGCCACACAGCTTCAACGTCAGAGTCCCGAGTAGTGCAGGCAGCAGCAGGTACTGCAGGCTGTCCGTTGGCAACTCTTCAAAGCTCTCATTCTTACTGAACATTTCCAACAGCGAGACACGGTTTGTTGTCTTCTCAAATTTACCTATTGCAGATTTAATTGTCATCTAGAAACCAAGTAATTTTTTTTAATATTTAAAAATGGTGATTGTTGTTCTAATCTTTTTGTGCCTTATTTTAAAAATATAAGTTAAATAAATAACTTTAAGATCTCATGTGAAATGAAATTGGCCATTGAAAGCAACCTTAAATGCGTATGCTTAGAGTGCGTATGGTACAACTATGATAAAATGATGTCACAAAACACATTTTGATCTTATTTATTTTAAAAAAAATAAGCAATGAGTATGCAAACCTGAACCGGATCACTGTTGGTAGCTTCTTTGCCATTTTCTATGTCATTAAACATTTTCATCGCACTATCGAACATCTCCTTAAGACTTTCATCGTTTGAGGACTGTGGAGTACTGACTTGCGCCATAAGTACCGCATAAATATGCAAAACTACAAGAATTCCTTTTTTCCACCGAATAAATCTATTTATGATAAAATTGTAATGTTTTTATAAATTTCAACCAATGTCAATGTCGAATTATATCTGACAATGACATTTCAGTTGACAAATTAAGTAAATGTTGCCCATATCTAATTATTTAAACTGCAATTTAGCTATACATTCTCAGTTCAAAATATCTTCGTGCTTTAAGGTAATTCTGCTCATCATGAAGTGTCAACGAGGTGTGTTCATAAGCGTTATATCTTCGCCAATGCTCCATAGGCCAAAATAAAATAACAATATTTTTATATTTAGGTTGTATTGGAGGAAGTCATAATCTTAGATTGTCAATACTTGCTCATGCTGCTGTATGAGTGTGTCTCGCAACACACTTTTTCTGGAACTTTGAAACAACCTTTCGCTCGGCACAGATGCGTTATGTCCCGTCTATTACAGAACAACCAAAACCCAGGAATAGCCACATGGGCGACGCGGCTGCGGTGTATTACCGGTGCCCCATTATAAAAATAGCCAAACAATGATAATGCTAAAGGAAATTGAAACATTAAAGATTTTATACAAAAATCATTACTAACTCCTATCGACGGGAGGTCATGATGTCAGTTTGTTTGCGGTCTATTATTAATTATGCAGGTCGTTGTGCTAGTAGCAGGAGCGCCGCCGCTCGTGTGGCTCCTCCGTTACTTTTGGAATCAACTCTCGCTACGTAGTACGTACGTATCACATACTCCGTAGGAGTTTATGTGGTCTGTGGCAAAGATTTTGTTTGTTGCACTTGCAGTTGGGAGTTGTCGTGCAATGCGAGTGCTTGTCTGCTGTCGTGGTGTCATGTAAGTTTACTCCTTGTACGCAGCGTGCCGGAAAAAACAATAGACCTGACCTCGGTATATATGCAGTTACATTTTATTGGATTTTTTAAGCCTCCTTCGCCGTTAAGATTGATTTTCTGTCTGTTGTTTTTTCAACATTTTTGTTGTTCAAAATGTGTAGTATTAAAATCGTAGATTCTATAAGGAAATGTCTGCATCTGATATGTTGTAAACTGATACGATTTACATCTTAATACAAGAACTAAAAAACGTTGCATCTCATTATGTTTTGATGTGCAACGCGATAACAGCGATAGATATAGTATATAATTTCAAAAATAAATATACTCATATGTTAATATTTAATCACTATTTATATTATGAATTATGTGTATTGAAATATACATTGCTTACCATCCAGTTGTTAATCGCATTTATACAAGAAAATAAAATAATACGTGAAAAAATCCTAGACCCGAGTGGTGATTCTGGAATTCCTAGCAGATTTATTTTGTTTTACGCTGAAATTGACATTTTCATCATAATTGCATCGCGTGAACAGACAGATTTGTAACGGAATACCAATAGTATTGTAACTTGCGCGTCCTACGAGTGCCCTTTAGGAAAGAAAGTATTGATTAAAGTACATTCGATGTTATGAATATACTCAAGAGAAAAAGGTGTGGCAGAAAAATTTAAATAATGAAAATCTTAGTATTTTTCCACCATATCACTTTCACTATTGATTTAGAGGACGTTTGATACTTTCGCGTATGTTATAAAATTTGTAAACAGCGTGGCGTACTGCAAAAACATTCACATAAACCTTTGAGGTGGTCTCCGGTTTTATAGAAAGAAGTGTTTTTTATGTGTTTTCGAAGTGCGCAGTACGAAGCCATAACACAAATTAATTGTAACTTAATAATGATACCATTATGCATACGTTCAACTTGCTACATAAGCTAACTGCAAATGCAAACAGGTGCTAACTGTTGATTGCGCTCGTTATATAAACACTCACACACGAACACGCATACACACACACGCGCATATCTCGCTACACATACTATTGAACATTACAGGCTTTTTTTATGTCGTGAAAGCCCTTTGTGAGCATTTCTCATGCTTAATAGTAAACGTTAATTATATTTATCACATAAATTCTAATAGTCCCTTTAAAAATAATATAGATCGCACGATGGCAATATGAGTTAAAATTGTTGTTGTTTACTTAAAACTAGGTTTTATTTACAGTATTGTTTTTTCCTCGTGATTACCTTCAGCATTTTACCTTCAATTTTACTTTAAGCTATAATGAAAATGCAGTCTGCGCGAATATCAAAGACTTTCCAAAGGGTCACAAATCTGAGTCTCGTAACACAGTCCCATTACGATTTTCACTTATAGTGGACTGGAGGGCGAATGGGGGAAATGGGTAGAAAGGTGCATTGAAAGTGATAATAGTACATTTAACTAACATATAAGCCGTATATTATATTGAAGCTAGTCTCTTGTAGGTTATGTTTCAAGGTTAGCATTGTAATGCGTCCATTGTCAGTTTAGGTACATCATAACAAAAGTGCGCGGCGCGGCGCTCCCGACTCGGCGGTCAACACATTGCCGTTGTGCCACGCCGCGTCGCCGGCTCACTTATTCACTATGTAGTTAATATTGAATAATGTTTGTTTTTTTTAGCGAACATTAGCATAATTTTGCCCGTCCTTACCCAACACCGTAATTGACATCACATTCCTTGTAATTTCGAATATACGTACTCAGTTTATTATTTTTTTAAAGTTTTATCTCGATTAATTAGAAAAGTTATTTTAACAATAAATTATGTTTTAACTAGTGAACTATAGCTGCTAAAACATATTCAGATTTATTTAGATAAAAATGGTTAATAACAAAGTTATTATTAATATTTTTTGAAATAATCAGATTATCCTTAAAATTTTACTTCGGCAAAGTAACTCAAAGTTCATTGACTTTACTTAGGGCTAATGGCTAGTGTTTGGCTATTTCTTTTAATGTGTTTGCTCCTTCCAACACAGGTTTACCGGGACTCGAGTGCACTTAGTCTGACCCTTAAGTTCAATGCGCGGTTTTCTATATTTAGATACGGGCACCTTGTCCTTTCAACCTGTTCGTATCACTCCTTTGGATAATGTTACAAATAGAAGTAAAGTAATTGTTCTTTCAAATTCCATCTACGTAAAGTGGAATTTGTTTTAAACTATTCACAGAGTCCGTGAATACTAGCCCTTTCATTAAACTTGAATAAAATTAAATATTAAAAATATGTTAAACGTACCTATGAAATGGAATAAATAGATTATGAATTTAAATCTCGGCTTAAAGTTATATCGTTGTCACGTGACAGAGAGGGCTTAATGAATACATGACCTAATCACGGTAAACGCTACTTCTGGAAAATTCTGGCGGGAAACGAGTAGTGGCCGGCGCAGGATGGCGACCATTAAGGCGATTGTCGCGCCACTCCGGATTACGCATAATGTCACAATGGCGGGTACAATTCAAGGCACGGTGCGGCCGAGCGGGAATGATGAATTGACCTCGGTCCATTGATGATCGATGGTTAAAATAAAATGATCGAATGAAAATTTCTAGCAGATGCAAACAGTGGTCGAATATGATTTATCTATTGAGCATTTTTGTTGAGCACTTCTTAATGCGATGGCAACGCCATGTCCAAAGTTTTAAAAATCTACTAGAATTAGGACTACATACCATCATTGTTAGTAAAATTTGTAATCAATAAACATCCGTGAAAACACAATAATAACAATTAACATGTTTTTTTTTTCCAAAAAGTTTTTACTTGTGTTCAAGAATGACCACCTTTGGCCATAAGATCGTTTTTTTATTTTGTAAAAAATATTTTAATAGTACTCAAAACATGTAATATTTATTCATTCAATTTGTCGTTCCCAGCGATTGTTTGTGCACATAATTATGTTAGCACGCCGTAACGTGAATCCTAATCAACCTAATCATCCTAATAGATTCGTTGTATCGCCATATCGTAGCTAATATAATAATTATAGGAATAGGATAACTATACACAATTTATATACAAGCGGAAGAACAGAGGTTAAGTGCGCAAATTTAGAATTATTGGGTCCCCATTAGAGACCAATTTTACTCTATTGATTGCCGCGCGTTGGATCACTTTTTGGCCAGAAATAAATGAGTAACAGTGAAACCATCTGCGCTGATAGTCTGTTTTTCCTTTATTTAGTCATTTTTTTTTTACATTTTACAAGTAAACGTGTTTATAAGAATCATTATTTTGACTTGAAACTTAAAAGCTTAGTATGGAACTATAAAATAACATCTTTAACTTCCAAAAACCTGAAAAGAGCAAGGGCCATAAAAATTTAGGAATAATAAATATTAATTATACTTATTTTATTATTTCAGATCTATTTTCATCTAATATGGGTGGGAATGTATTGTGAAAATCTCGTATACGAAGACAATCATCAAATCAAACATGGCTGCCGTAACGGTATTTTCTCTATGCCTCATAGTGAGCGTTGTCTATGGCTTTAATGGCGACAGCTTCGAGCTGGAGTGTCCGGACGAGTGCGATTGTCACTACTTCAGAATCAACTGGGTCACCGACTGTTCGGAGAGCAACCTAACTGAGGTTCCGTACGATGAGCTCAGTAGGAGCGTGTACATTCTGGACCTCAACGGCAATAATATAACAACGCTAGAGACCTTCCCACCTGACATCAAGATGAGGAGATTACAGATCGCGAATAACAGACTCACCAGGGTTGAGAAGAATTCATTCAAAGGACTCGAATATCTCATAGATGTCGATCTGTCCGGGAATAATATCACATACGTGGATCCTGAAGCATTCTTGTAAGTAAATTTGCTTAATTATTTTTTATGATATTTAAAAATTGTCAGTAACTAAGTCAAGAACATAGAAACTTTAATTCGCGGATGGGTTATTTGTAAATAAGATCGTAATTTCCCGGAAACCGGTATGACTAAGTCAAAGAGCGTCTTTTCCGCATTTAATCCCATTATTTCAAAAGAAGGCAATGTCAGACGGAAAGCCGACAACCAGCCAGGTCATTGTGTACAATAATAATTGTAATTCACGCAAGGTCAGCATAGAGGCGCCATAAATACAGAAATGAAAAGTATAATACATTACTCTGAGTGCCACAACTCAATGAAAAATGTTTTTCTTTTTTACAACGATTATCTGCAAGACAAATAAATATTTGTATGACTCAATGATATTCATAAATAATTAAAAAAACAAACATATACTGAGTTCAATTGTTGTACTACTTCACTTGACATGTGACCTCCAAACAATTTTATGTTTAATTTAATATCTACGTAAGTTAACAATAATACAATAAATAGACTCGGAATCGTATGACGATCAAGCGGAAGTGCAAACTCCTTATATGTGGTTTATATCAGATAGCTTCGACATCGATTCATTGTTTACCTTCGATTATTTATACTCCGGTTTGTCTTGTTAAAACTGATTCAAATGTAGCAAAAGCAAATGCAGGTGGATGATGATATATTGTTAGACCATTGTTAAGGTTTTGGCCAATAAATTGAGTATCTATTCATAAGAACGTTATAAGTGGTAGTCAGTCCTCTATTCCTTCCCACCCTTTTTCTTATAAGGAAAAAATGGGAAGCGGAAGTGGACTTTCCGGATGAGAGGATGCATGGAAAGGGGCATTATTTTTTCTTTCTGTGCATCCTCTCCTCCGTCGATTAAAAGTAGGCAACGCATATGCAATTGCGTATGGCTATGGGCAACGGTCACTTCGCTATTTTAGCAATTTCAGGTGGCCGCTCGCACGTTTGCCACCTTATGATATAAAAAAAAATTGTACGTAGAATATTAACAGGTGGCGAGACATTTACTATCACAACACAATAGATGACAAAATTGTTACCAATTGGTGCTGAACTTGCGGCGAAGTGGAATGACGGCAAATTGCCACAACTCGGGCCAATATTAGATAATGGGCGCATAAAGAAGGCAAATTGAATTCGCCACACACGCTTCTCGTACGATTTGAGGCCCCTTCATCTTTGCTTTGTCTGTTTTAAGACTTTACATTTACATCAAAATAAATTTAATAATAATAATTTTTACGTAATTTCAGAGACTCGCGGGGCCTCCTAAATGTGGAACTTCAAGACAACCCGATCACAACTGTGGACGGGCCGTTTCTAATCTCCAGCACGCTGCAGTATCTTGACATCAGTTCCTGCAATCTTTCTGTCATCAACACGCAATTCTTCGACAATATCACATCTTTAACAACAGTGGATCTCTCTAGTAATCCTCTTCGTAACCTTGATGTCGGTGTTTTCGATGTCCTGACAAGTCTAGACAACTTAAACTTAAATGACTGTCAACTCACGACAATAAGCGATGGTGCATTTTCTTCTTTGACAAATCTCAAGAGGCTAGAACTAGCGGGTAATTTCTTTACTAACACCAACTGGTCCGAAGTACTAGGAAATCTAATTAGACTAGAATATCTCAATCTGAGAAAGTCAGGCATAACCTCTTTGACCGAAGACACTTTTTCGAACTGCACAAATTTGGTGACACTTATCTTAGCAGACAACGAATTGCGAGATTTAGATGTTGGAGCCATATTGGGTAATAGCGTTACCCACTTAGAATTATTAGACCTATCTAACTGTCACATCAAAGGTCCGATTTCGGGAGAAGCGTTTGCGAACGCGACTAAATTAAGAATTCTGTATCTTTCTGGTAATCCGTTGTTCGCACCAGATTTACAGGAAGCGCTCGCACCTCTTCCCAAATTGGAAAGGCTATTCTTGAGCAATTGTGGTTTGCATAATCTCCCCGATAACTTTAACGTTTTTGAGAACCTGCTAGAACTGGATATATCACATAATCCTCTGGTCAATGTCTTTACTAAACTACTAGCTCCCCTGGAAAAATTGGAATATTTAAATATGGGCTACAGTAATTTATCTTACATCGGACCAGACTCTTTTGCAAAGATGACCTCCATGAAACGTCTTATTCTTTCTGGTAATGATCTACTTTCTCTTGAAGCTGGTCTCTTTGGAAATTTAACGCAATTGACAACACTAGAGTTAGAATTCTGCGGACTTAAACGGCCGCTTAATGCAAACGCATTCTTTAAAAATCTCACTTATATGGATTTAAGAGAGATCCGACTTAGTGGAAACCCTCTTGTTATCCCTGAATCTGGACCACTATTCCCGAGGCAATTGTCCCAAGTTACAATTCTCGATCTCAGCAACTGCAACATCTTATCTTTGAACAGAGATGCTTTCAAAAACACCGAGAACATTACTGACCTAAACTTAGCGGGTAATCATATTAAATCCGGCGATAGCAGCCTGTCCTTCTTGGAACGACTTCGTCACATAGAAAAGATCAACCTAAGCAACAACAATTTAACAACTATAGAACCTGAAGTATTCATAAATAATCCTAAGTTACGATCACTGAATCTGCTCGGTAATCCTTTCTTATGTAACTGTAAAATAGCAGAAATGTGGGATTGGGCGAACATGATAAAAGGAGATTTGGATATGTTGGTCGGTGCCAAGAGCGCTGAGAAAGATATTGTCGTAAAAGGCAACAAAAAGAAAAAGAATTTGTACTGTCATTACAACGAGACCCAGCTGCGCAATTTGACGCAAACAATTAACAAATCAGTGCCGGGACGAAGGCCTTTTGTAAAACCTAGAGAGCTTACATACGCTTATAGGACATGGGCGAAATATGTCAGAGAGTCGGGCTGCGAACCAGTGGTGAAGATTCTAAGGCCCGTAGCTTTAGTTGCTGATCTATTTGATGTAAACAGCGGGCATATATCCACAGCGGCTTTAGTTCTAGCTGTCCTCGCGATAATTTTAGGTATATCCACTGTAGTTATGACGATTAGATTGTTTCGCAAAAAAGCCCACACGATGGTGGATACAGAACAAAGAAAATTGAGATAGAAATCAAGTTATGTGGTTATTTCTAATTTTATAATAATTATTTAATTACAAAAACTATTTTTGTACCTATTTATGTTAAAGATTGTATTTTCTTAGGATACTGTTTTAAAAATTCTTCTAAATTAAGTAAAAAAGATTGCCTAAATAGATTTAGCAAACATTATTCATAATTTTGTATCTTACTAGTCAAGTAAAGTAGCGAGTTTGATATTTCTCATATAACTAACTTGTTAGATTTTTCAGTATTGATTTCACTAATAAAACTAAATAGATCTTCTCGTTATTTTATTGAATAATTTACATTTATATAAATGTCACTAAAACCATCCTGGACTTATTATTGCTTCTTTCAGTTTCAGTAAACTACGTAAAGAACAAATACTACATAAAACATAATTAAATAATAAAGTTATGCTCATGAGGCTATTAACTATCCTAGCTCGATGCAAACGGCTGCATTTGGTTTTTCTATGGGGTGGATGTGTTGACGACTCAATAAACTCTTCAGTGGTCATACTTCACCCGCGACTGTTAAGGGTACTCAAACCAAAGGACAACAATAGGACCAAGTTCTATGTAGTCAGTTTAAAATAAAGAAATTAAATAATACATAATTTTAAACTTTCGTGTTTTTTACTAAAAATGTTCGGAAAATACGGGATTCTTACCACGATTAAGCTGCCAGGATTTTCTGCAAAGTTGCACGAAGTTCTGTTACAATCTGGGTGTTTCCAACCAAACGATATTAAATTTAATTTGGATACCAAAAAATCTTTAAAAAAATCATATTATTGTTAAACTAACTTGTACATTGATAAAAATCAATTAGAAATCTGTGGATAAATTTACAATTGCAAAAATATTTTTCGGCAAAAAACAATTAAGGTTTTTCTTAGCTTGTTTCAGCGCGCATAATGGTCTCTTAGGCAACGCAACCTTAGCAAATAGATATACTTTTACAAAGCAAATAAAAAGTGTTGGTGATCTGATTGTATGTATACTTTTGCATTTTTAGGTAAATTGAAAACTTGTAGAAATAACGTATACAACGATGACATACGTTTGTAAATACATTTTAAATTTATTTTAATTTCTCGCCCTTGACGTATTTCTTCATTTGTGAAAAGCAACAATTCGTGTCGATTGATTGTTGCGGAAGCATATATAATCAGTGTTTAGTGTTTTTTGCCCCCTTTACGGTACGGTGGCTGACTCCACTGAAGACCGGAGAAATTTTTATTTTATTTCTATTTATAGTTGATTGGCAAAATCGGGGCAAGAAATAGATCGCATCACGTAACGTATCGGCAGAGAAAGTTTGTTGCAGAATATTGAACAATCATTTAACGATTTCAGTTTACAACCGAAGTACAGATTAAAAAAAAAGTAACGATGAATTAATTTATTCTTATACCACTACATTAAACTTACACTAACTTTTGGTAATAAATAACTCTATCAGCTTTTGTTGCTACCTCCTGATGTACTACTCTTTTTGATGTACCAATTTTCTTTGTACGTTTTTTTCCTCGCACCGGGTTTTTCGCTCTCTAGCCTTACGTTGCTCGCCATCGGCGCCAATTCGCTGTCGAGGAGATAAGGTAAAGAGGAAGGCTCGAAGCCGTATTGGAATTGAGGTTCGACGAATTGTGTCTTCGTTTTAAATCTTTGAAGTGGTTGAGAACCACGAGCGGCATTATCTCGGGGAGTTTCTTTACCGTAATCGAATTCGTACAAAACTTTCGGCCCCGCTTGGTATCTGGCGGATTGTTGCTTAGGTTTTTCTTCTGACTCGTAGTAGTAAGGAATAGCGGAATACTTGGCGTTCTGCTTTTCATGCTCCTCGTCTTCATTTTCATTTTGCTTTGCGCTAAAGTAATTTTCGGGTTTATGTTGTTTATACATCTCAAAGTATTCCTGTTTGTTATTGTGTCTATCGTTGATACTTTCAGGTTTAGCGGCGGTAAAACCTAAGTAATAATCTTCTTTCACTTTGTCGCGACTGTCTTTGTAACTGGAGTGAGTTTCTTTTGGAAACTTATCACTTTCCTCATAATATTGTTGGAAGGGCGCATGCTCAAAATCAAAATTACCATTCTCACGACCTATGGCGTACGCTTCTGGATTGTAGATTTCCTTTTCGATGTCTTCAGAATTCTTCTCGTATCCTGGAAATCCGAAAGCTGCATTTTTGTAAGCTCTTTCGAAATTTTCTTCTTTATTTTCCTCTTCGTTGGCCTCTTGTCTGTTCTGTTTTTCATTATTATGACCTTCAGAAAACTCACGACTACCTTTGGGTTTTTCATACGTATGCGTATTGTGAACATAGTCATCATGCTGTTCCCGGTGTTGTCCTCCATTGTGATGTGATTCTTGCGGACGGTCAGGTTGCTGTTTGTGTATGTGCTGTTGTGGATCTACTCGAATTTGCTCGTTGGGTCTGTGTGTGGGTAATTGGTTTTTATGATTATTATATTTAGGAGGTCCGGCATGATAATGTCCGTGATTGATTTGAGAATTAACTAACTCCATAAATGATTTTGGGAACTCATGATTATCTGTATAAGATTCATCTTGGAGATGTTTCTGATTGTGTGTCACTTGTCTATGCTCTGGTACCAATTGATGCGTGGGCTGCGGTGCATTGGAGTATTGTTCTCGTTGTATGTTGTGGGTATTTTGTGGAGGCTGTGGCTGTTTAGGAGTATCATCTTCGGCTGATTCTTCTTGCAGCTCGATAGAAGTCGCTGGCTGCCTTACACGGACGTGATCACTCTGCTCTTCATCTCTATTCTCGTCTTTGGATGTGTATGTTAGTTGCTTTGGATCTTGTTCGCGATTTTCGTAATGTGCTTGATTTTCTTGCTGTGGAGCTTTAGAATTGTGTTCGTAACTGTAATGCACAGGTTTTGACTGAACTTGTTTCTCGTAAGTATATTGAATGGGTTCAGACGTTGTTTCTTTGTTGTAGCTGTAATTAATGGGCTGCGATTTCTCCTCTTTGTTATAGCTGTAATTAATTGGCTGCGATTGCTCCTCTTTTTTATAGCTGTATGTGACGGGTTTTGATGTCGTTTCTTTATTATAACTTACGACTTGTTCCTTGTACGTTTCCTTATAATTAGGTGACTTAATTTCGTAGGATATCTCAGGACTTGCATTAGGAGTTTCGTTTATTGTTATATCTGGAGTTTGATGTTCGTTTTCATTTTCAATATACTGTGGTCGCGGTTGCTTCTTTTTATTTACTTTATTCTTTGACTTTGGTTTATTTCTAATCACTCCAGTCTCTTGAGATTTAGGTTTAAGTTGTACTGGTTTTTGTTGTTTTTTGTTATTAGCGTTATAATTGTGCAATGAATGATAAGTTGCTTCATTAATTCTTGGCAAAAAATGTTGCACTTGCGGTACCAGTGGGTTATCAAACGTTAATGGTTCAAGCAGACTGATGTCTAACAAAGGCAGGGGCGGTCTAGTTTCCAATGTCAATACGGTTTTTTTGCCATTAACATAGGTGGTAACTTTGGCCGGAGCTGCTTGCAATTGTTCTTTATTACCGTGCAGCTGTTGGGGATTGTTAAAATTTTGGTTTTTGTTTTCTTGGGCAACTGGCAAACTTCTAGGAGCCTCTTCTAAGCGCTGAAATTTCGGTCCATTGCTTTGCTGTTCCTCTGATTGCAAGTTGACAAAAACCGCTTTATTGCTGGAGGGTTGTTGTTGTGCCACTGGATGAGGATTAAAGTTATTTTGTAGAACTGGAAAACCACCAAAATTCCTAATATTTGCGTTGTGTACGACGGGTTGCGGTACTGCGTATCTTGCGAATGAAGAAGTCCCGGGTGCTTGGAAACCTTGCACGTTGAAATGTGCCGGTGCAAAAAAATGTTGTGCTCCTTGTTGTGCCCCAGGTGCACCGGACACCAAAGGTTGAGACAGGTGCAATGGTAGATCTTGAAGGCGAACAAACTGTTGCGGTAAAGTTGTCTTAAACCCCACCATTTGCGGCGTCTCCGCGAATTTTCCATAGGAATCCGTCAAAAAACCGTTTGTGTTCTGTATAACAACCCTTTCTTGGTTAACGGGAACGAGCTGCATTTCTTTCGGTGCGGTCGCGAGCCTCGGGGCGTGAAACGAATAGGCGGCGTAGGGCGCGGCGCTGGCGTACACTCCCGCGGGAACATGACGGTACAGGCGGGACCCACTTTCTTTGGCAGTGTTATCTACCAGGTTCACTTTAGGTTTTTCAGGTTCACCTAACGTTTCACTAAACGTGAGGCACGCCAATATCAACATTACCTGTAAAGAAAAGCGTTATTTAAATTAACGTATTATAAGAGACTATATTTAATACCACAATAAACAATGACATTATTTTAGCTGACTACCAGCTCTTGCCTGGCACCCTGTAGCCTAAAACCTCATTCATCAACTATGATGTAATTATAATCGTTAATATAAAAATTATAAGCACACTCTTTTAACCACCAATCACAAAATAACCTTTTGTTCATAAATTCACAACACTAAAATGAATTAATCAAATAAGATTTTTATTATCTGTTTCTTTACCTTTCTCCCCATGATGGGCGTTGTTGGATCTAAGAACGCGGGAGCGGCACTGTAGAGCCGCGCAACTGTTCACCACCTTATATCGAAAAGCGCGCGAAATACGGACCTGTCATTTTCCGACAATCCCGCGCTTTGTTATGTCATACCTTCAAACAAATACGAACATAAATAATATTATGTGATTGAATGTAACCCGAATGCGCTCCTCTCATTGATAATAAGAAATTTGGTAGATAAAAGATTGCATCACGGCGAGTTAAAGGTAGTCAACGACACAACTAATAAAACTCACAAATAAAAGAAAAAGTTTGATTACAACGACGTTTGGACGAACTCACCCGTTTCGCTTTTCGTAACGAAAAAGGCCGTAGTTGACCGCCTTATTATAAAGCAATCGTTACATTTAAAGAAAGATTTAAATTAAATCAATTAGTTTACATCACAAAATTGTTAACATTTCAGATTAAACTGTATTTATCAAAACTTTAAACCTTTATTTTATTTATTAAGGTATTTATTTTTTCTTACATGGTATTTCACTACGCCAATAATATTTTGAAATCATAAGTATCATAGCATGGAACTACGACGAATCTCGCGTCGTTTAAAGAGCGTTGTGCAAGATAGCTTAACGGTGAGAGATGACAAGGCTAAATTGCGAACTTACCGAGTTTTTCTAAGCCACTTGGGATTTGAATCTTTCTTGCCGCTCGTATGTCATAATCTCAGCCACGAAGCTATCGTCGTTTGTTAAAAAAAAGTCCATCACAAAATGAAATAGACGGTGTGAAAGGATTAGCTTCATGCTTCGCGGAGCGGTACTTACAAAATTTGGCTGAAAACCTGAAAAAAGAAGTCTTTGTCGCACAGACGAGCCTTTAAAACTGCCGTAGTCCAGAGAAATTTATTTCTTTCTTTTTGTTTTTAAATCGACCTATGTGTGTACATTATTTAACAAAGAACTTCATTCGAACGTTATTTATAGAAAAGAGAAAAAATCAATATGAACATTTAAGTAACAGAATCGTTGAGTAAAGCAAAATGAAGATATTTTACTCTGTATATTTTGTACTTCTTGTATTGCGGATGTCCATGTGTGTCGTTGATATATCGGTATTTACGCCGTTCGTTTACCCCTTCTCTTATAAAAAAAAGCTTTAGTAATCACCACTACTCTCTTCTGATTTTCTGATTTGTGAAGTGTTCGACACATATTCCAACAGTTAATATAATTGTAAGCGAAGGAACTTACAATTGTACGTTATATAAAGTAAATTTTACGAGGGCATTTAATGAATCCGGGTATAATGGTGCAATTGAATTGTGCGTGTCGAACGGAAACGTGCGGCGACGCGTGCCTGTACCGCCGCGGTCAGATAATGAAGCCACTGATATACTTTTAAAACGAACTTAGACATGCTTATTTATCGAAATGAGTAACTCTATTCTTAGTTTTAAATTTTTTAACAAGAAGTGCCATGAATTTCAAAACACTTGGAGCCATACAATTACAATAGTCTGCTGGTCATTTTTACAAGAAGCATAAAAATATGATTAGAAAACAATATAACGTAAAGGAACTTTTTATTTGTCTCCATATCTGGTATTTTTTGTTCGTACACATTTCGAAAACTGCTCGGACAAAAAATAGCGAACCAAATCACAAGCTCAATTAATTTTTTTTCACGGATGCTTTAATTGTATAATAAACTTTGTTTTTTTTTCTAATGAAAAAAAAATAAGTGAAATTCACAGAAATCTATTACCTGCAGCAATTTGACATATCTTGTAAGACACAAATCTAAGACGATTAAGATATTAGATGCGAACATTCGATATTTTTGCACTTATATTAGAAATTAACTTTTTGTATATTTAATTACAATATATTTTAAAGAGTTTTTATAAAAGAAAAAAGTTTTGTAAAAGAAAAGAGGCATTATAAAAAAATAGACTTGTTTATTAATTTTTTATTAATATTTACAAAACTTAATCTATTTGATGTCAAATGTTTCTTATAAATACTAAATTACAATCTATCACAAAGATTCAAATAAATCGGCAGATGAAGTAATCAATAATTGTACCATAGACAACTTCTGGAATAGAGTAGAAGTTACTAAGTAATTGGGTGTCAAAGATGTTAACTTACTGTAAAAAAAAACAAAATGTACGTCTACCTTAAGATAATTACGGAGAAAAAAAAAGAATGTGATCTGAGTTTTTAAATAATTATGCCGCCATTGATAAAAATTGTTTAAGATTCCGCACGCCTATTCACACATAAAACATTTTTTTTTATTAGAAAACAACACAAAAAAAATTATATACTTGTAACAATACGTCTGCAAGTAGCAAAATGTCATAGATAATATACATCTCGATGTATTTTTAGTAATTTAAATACAAAAATCATGATCAACCACTAAAAGTTTCATTATAGTGCTACCAACTTAACTGGCCCACTGATAGTACTGGTGCTGCTATAGCTTATTTATTCGGTCCAAATATATGCTGTCGTACTTACAATAAAATTCTTTAAATGTACTGTTGTAATGTGTTGTACACCGGACCACATAAGTTTGTTGCACTGTATGTTGTAGATTCGAAAGAAATATGAGGAATTATTGAGGAACAAATTTATTTACAACCACCTATCCTAAGTATGATGGCGGGAAAATAGTTTTTATTCAGATTAGTGTCTAGGATAAACTCATTAGGATTTTATTAGAAAAAAATACTCCAAGAAACCGAAGCTTCTTAACAGACAAGCACCACAGTGGACAACATAAAGTAAATCATTACTTTCTTCAAATTTCTTAAAAAATAAGTCACGACCTATCAAACGCCTAGTCGATTAAATACATTTCTAGTGATAGTCAGATCTTTAGGATTCTTATTACCTAACCTAGACTTAACACCGACACCCTCTGGCATAGACAATCGTCTCTCTGGTTTGTTGAACACTTGCGTCTGTTTTGTCGCGACAACTTTCTTAATGACATTGACAGGTGGTTTCGTTGGCGCCAAAACTTGATTATTCAAATTGTTAGCCTTTTTAGTTGCTTCAATTTCTTTATATTCTACATGACTGGAAAATTTAACCGATTTTGGTTTAGATAAAGCTAGTTTCTCTTTGACACTGACTGGGGTTTCGTCGGCGCGCATTGTCCCGACTGCAATTTTCCTCACATTATTCTTAGTTGCAGTAACAGTAAAAACTTTTTTCACCAACGGGTTTCCCTTCAATATGCCTTCATACTTAAGAGCATCCTTTTGAATCGGAATAACTTGTTTGTCATCCTTCTGTTCAGACTTCGAGCCCAGTCTGGAGTAAATCTGTTTAGAAACCGGTTTTAATGCGACAGTTTTGACAGGTTCAGAATTTCCCAACCGTGCGAATACAGTCTGTTTGCTAATTGCACCTGCAAACAAATTTAAGCACATAATATCACCTTCAGTTATTGCCTTTTCAATGCAAAGTATCCAAGAAAAAACAATAGTTGACTAAATAAAAGTTAAAGTTGAGTAATTAAATATTTAAGAAGACAAATAAGTTATGTTGTGGTCCAAACTAAAAACTTTTTAGTTTTTTACTTAATAACTTGCTATAACATAAACTTACCAGTATCTTTGACAGCAGTTGTTTGTGGAGCCAGTGGGGCGAATCGAATGAGACGCGCCTTCTTCATCTCCACTTCATTATCATCACTGGAAATTATATTTAGTCATATTTAGTAATATCGTAACTGCCACACTCAGACATTAATTGGATACGAAGCAATTTCTTAAGTGATGATTTCCTGTGATATTTACAATGCTGTGAAGAAAATAATTAACATAATCTATGTAATACATAGAAGATACAATAGACCCACTGTAATCTGACAAGTGTTTTACAGGCAGTTATGAATTATCATATATTCAGATAATACTATTTCACTGAAGAGTACCTTGAAATCCGACGATTTATAGATCAAATGGTGATTCTATATTTTCTTAATTAACTTTACATTTGGAAATAATTGTGTAGAAACAAATGAAATGTATTTAAATAATAAAACTAGGCATAAAAATTATAAATCAATTAATTTACAGAGCAGAAAAATGGACATGTAGGATTACAATGAGTGCCGTATAAGCCAAAGATCAGATTACCACGGGTCCATGGTATAACTCATTTAGATTTAGTAGCTATATTAAAAAAAATCGCAACATCAACCTTACCTAATTTCATTAGATTTCCTTTTTGGTAATGAAGTATTTACAGGAGAAGTTTCCTGCACTTGTGGGTTGCGTGTGTAGTGTTCTAGTATACGGCTAGCAGCTGCAACATGCAGAAGGATTATATTGTTTACAATAATTTCTCATTAGTTTTGGATTAAAATGTAAAGTATCTTTAATTTATCTCAATTGTGGTGTTTTTCATTGCACAAATCATTTCTGAACTGAACATAATCTAAATCTATTACAAATATTGTTTATATCAAGATATGAACTGACGTGATGATGGTTGTGTGACAGTTGAACGGCCAGTGACAGCTGCCACAGGCACCTTGGTTGAAGCAGCGGTAGTGCTGAGCACTCTATCTCTAGCTGTACTTTCATGCACTTGCTTAGCATGCCTAAAACAATTACATTTTTAAAAAATCAGTTGTGTTAATATTTTTTTTAGTATTTACTAACTTATAAAAACTAACCGCAGAATTGCAATAACATCTCCCATCCGAGTGATGCCCATATCTCGAAGATATTCCTTGTTCAAATCGAGCAACATGTCATTTTGTATGCGATTTTCTGTGAATGTCAGAGCGTAGGTTGCGCCTACATCGGACGGAATTCCTGCAGCTGTGAAAAAGTTTACCCACAAACCTGCAATGAAAAAAACATGTACAGAAATTCATTAATCGCTAACTAACATCTGTCTGTAGTGGCTCCTCGTCCTCGGTCCTCGCGTATTTAAATAGCCAAAACATTGTGTGAAAATAAAACACTTCATTATTTATATAAGCTGTTAATAAAAGCTTCATACTAACTTGTGAGGTTTGATTCCATTTTAATTATTGGATTAAAATCTAAAATAATAAATAAACAATGAAAGAAAAGTATCAAATTTCAGAACTTTTTAGTTTTGATTTTGACACAATTTGACTACTTTTTGACAATGACAACTTGCAGCACAGAATAAATAAAATTGTGCCACTATGGCATTACATTTCGAAAACAAAATTTCATAAAACTGACTTTAAACGACGGTGGGACTGGGGTTGAAATTTGAAGAAAATAACGAGTTTCTAAAAACATTAGGTGAGCCTCTTTTCACTCACATATTTTATTTGCTTTTTGATCATTCAGCTAAAAAAATAGTGCTGTGGTGCTGTGTGTGGTGTGTGGCTGTGTGTCATGTATCAAATATCTGTTTCAGTTTTTGTTGACATTTTATATTTTGACATACTGAATTTTTGAATTATTGAAAGGTATGCGGTATGTATATAAATAAGAATAGTGATCTTTACTTTAACCATTATTCAATTTTACATTTTTAGCGCTTGCTGTACGATGCGAGTACGTAGTGTTATTTTTGACCTGCAAAAATATGCGTGCGGAATGATTTTTAACCGCAATCCTTTAATTCATTATAACTATCAAAGTTTCAATTCCTTATTTCAATTGAAAAAGTTGCATTTAGGTAGATAATTAACCACCATCGAAATAAGCATAAATGTCAATTTATGATAGAAATTTATTCAATCAGTGTTGTTTACCAATTTCAGCTCCTTCTTTGCAACAAAAGCATCCCGAAAAAAAAACTACAAAAATGTCTTCATCAGGGGTAACTTTGGATGCCATACCAAAAGTAGACATTGATAAATCAGGTGTATTTAAATATATTTTAATTAATGTTACGGATAAAAATAAGCAAGAGGAAAGTCCAGTGACAATTGTTAGAGGTTATGCCCACTGCAACTACCATTCTGATATATTAGATGAGGTACAGTATACTGCATGTACCAATTAATACTTATATATTTTAGTTTATTTAGTAAAAGCAGATGCCGCATGGAATATGAAGTTTTTGGAAACAGTCCACAAATGGGAGAAATGCAGGGCTCTCTACTTCTACACTTATTCTTTAATGCTGTGATCGATTTCGAAAATACTGATGATTATTCATTGACATTCTTTTTATTACTTTTAGGTTGAGGGAAAGCTTCAACCATTGCAATGTGAGGTGTTGGGAGGCGGTCGCATTTCTCATGATGCTGACTTCAAAAGGATTAAAATATATGGTTATTCACAAGGCTTTGGGAAGGCAGATCATGAGGTCACTGCTAACATTATAAAAGATGCATATCCTAATTACACCATCACAATAAGTGACGAAGGCTATTAAGGAAGTAAATGCTACAACCAGCTAGATGAAGCTATTTATACATGTCCATTATAAACCTTTATATTTGTAGCATGCTGTGAGGTCAAATAATAAAAGGGCAATATTGTATGAGTAACTTTATTTCCATAGACTTACATATTTTATAAATTTTATCAATGCCTTGTAAAAACATTGTGATATATGTTTAATAAACTGATGGTGGAGCTATTCATATTTAATTTTTTACCAGTTTCTTAATTCCTGATGCAACAAACTCTGTTATTTTCTCACTCCCAATACTTTACCAAGCTAAGGCCTACAAAGAAGTGTAGAGCTAGGAGAAGAAGACCCGTTTCCTTTTATTTTACCTTTTTACACTATATTATTGACAATACACAAATAAGAAAATATTATTATGTGTTAATACAAAACTACATAACATCTCAACTATACACATACTTTGGCCGCAAGATTATAATGTCTTTTATTTAAGTCTGCTGTCAAATCGAAATGTCAAAAAAGAATATGTCATTCCGTCAATAACAAATTAATTTTGGATATCGTATTCAAAGTTTGCTTTTCTTGCTTAGATAAATAAATTAGATTTGAGTTATAGCTATTATAGTTATGGCAAATTTCACAATTGACGGAAAAATATGCATTGAACGCGAACTTGGTGTAGTGCCTACAAACAGACAATTTGAAGACTTAATTTCTTATTTCGATGTACTTAAAACGTGTAAATGGATATCTGATAATAATTACTCGAAGGTATACTAGCCGTTTTGCAAATAATTCGCTTTGAAACGTTGATTTTTAATAGGCCGTCACTGACACAATGTTTTGCAGGTGTGTCTACAATTTCCCGATGAGCTTTTAAATGTGAGTGCTGTAATATTTGAAGAGATAAAGAATATATGTGATGTTGACCTGTATATTTTAGGAGACACTTCATATGCTAGGTACATAAGTATATTATAAAGTAAAAAACTTTTGTTCACTAGTATATTTTGGTTATTTTGGCAATAGGCATTAAGTATTATTTAATATTGCAGCTGTTGTGTAGATGCAGTGGCGGCTATGCATGTACAGGGCGATGCAGTGATTCACTATGGACGCAGTTGTTTTACAAAATCAAACATACCTGTGTTCACAGTCTTACCTAAGAAAGAATTGAATTTGTCATCTTCTATGAAAACTTTGCAGGATAAATTTGATTCAGATAAACTTGATAAACTTTGTCTGTTTTATGATTGTGAATTTGAACACTACAAAGGTACTGCTGATAAAATTTAAATAATTGCTATGTTCAATGTTTTAACCCTAGATAGATAACCATATTTCACCGTACATTAAAGATAACCATACGTCGACTCGACGTGAATGTTTGTGTGAGCATATTTTGGATTATGTATGTACTAGGTTTATAAATGTAATATTTTGTCCTAATATATGTAATTGTGTCCTGATTTAATGAAAAACATTAGTGTTTATTTATATTTTTATATAAAAAAAATAAGAACAAAAAAAGGAACTTCTTACTAATACGAAACATAATCATTTGGAATCTCTTCATCAGTCTTATAATGCAGTATCTAAACTTTTCAAAATCAACTCATAGTAAACTTTATAATATAAAAAACCTACGTAAATATCACTTTTTATCTAATTTCGCTTTAAAGGCACTTAGGACAGGCGCTGGACCTGTGCTCTCCACAAATGGGATTTTTGCAACTGTCGCACATTGTCTTTGTCATCCTTCTAATTTTTGATGGACAAAAGCCACAATATTTTCTTTTCTTTGGCTTTGGTACACCTTCACGTGGTGTGGGAGGTTCAGCTGGTCTTTTTGGCAATATACCACCAATTTTTTCTTTTATATTCGTCGGCAAAGTAAACATTTTCTGCCTTGTCTCCATCCACTGGGTCATCAAGCTATTGCTGAGTTTTTTCATGAAATCTCTACGTCTCACTCTACGTACAAATGTATCAGTAGCCCTTAGTTCTGGCCGCAAAGATTTGTCGTCCATTCTCAAACACCTTATCAGAAAATCAAATCTATCTCTGCTCATGGCAGCAACATATCTGTTTCCTGAATACGAACAATCAAATAGCTCATCCGTAGTCAAATGATTGTCCTTCATAGCAGCTGTTAGTGTCAGTATGCCGAAAAGAGACCGAATTTCTTCACAAGTTGTAGTTTTAAAGGTGGCTTTAACATTAGACCTTTGAATCTTTAGCTGGATTTCAGCGTTGGTCCATTTTGTAATCTCCTCCACAATTTCATCAGTAATAAATATACTAAAACATTCTAAAGGCTCATAAAGGCATTTATTCATCCGAGTGGGACCCCTAGATGTCCGTATAATATTAGCAGATGATACTCTGCCACTTTTTCTGCCTTTAGTGGCCGTCCAACGATGTTCGTTTTTGCCTCTAAGAATTTGACGCTGTGGCATGATAATATAACTCGGCACACTTGTCGAAGCACTTTCAGAAGGTACAGACTCATTTTCTGACACATCTTCAGCATTCAAGTATCACTTTGTACGTCATCTTCTAATAAATTGTTTTCAGTTTCACTATCGGACCCCTGAATCTCTTCATCGCTCGTTTCAATCAACAAGCGACTGATTTCTGCATCATCTACACGAATTCGTGACGTCATTATGTTCTTATATCGTGGCCTATAACAAGTAAAAGAACTATAAAAAATTATGTACTTTTACACTCAAAAAATCGTATTATCACCTTTTTATAAAGTTGAAAAACTGACACTTAAGATAACCATACGTCACTTCGACGTACGGAAGCCAAATATTGACGAAAGTATTGCACTTACCGAAACGATTCGGGTGTGTCCTTCAAGCTGCGACGGTCGACAGAGTTGGCAGGAACGGCCAGTTTAGTAACGCGAAAAACAAACGAGCTATATCGATTTATTAAAATCGATTACGTCGATTCGACGTAGGTTATCTATCTAGGGTTAAATATAAAATTTGCATATTTTTCATGTTTATATCTTGTTACACAATAAATATAATACCATCCCACCATCTAGTGCCTTGCCTTTCATATTCCTTTGAAGTATGTGTACTCAAATTAATTAGTAACCTAGCTGTAGCTTGAGACTCTGTGCGCCTAATAAAACTTAATTAGTAAGCTATGTATTCTTCCAGACTATGTATGTATGTATGTATATATCTGTGGTAAATTTCATCAAGGTCTGTTCAGCCGTTCTGGAGATACCTTTAAAGAAACATCCATCCAAACATTTGAATTTATAATATAATATAATAACAATAGCTTCTACTTTCATACTGTAACAATTATTAAAACCTTTTTTATTTAATTTAAACAACTTTTACAGATGAAATAGAAAAGTCATGGTATCAGCAATATCCTAATAGTTACATAGCATATATTGAAATGGATGAAAATAGAAAAAGATTCCTAGGTCGTTTGGTAAGAGATGTCAATGGTGAAGTTTACAATTCAGATGTACTTAAGAACTGCACATGCATTTACATTGGCTTTAGTGGACAGACTTTATTTATCTATACTATATCTATTGAAGGTAAATATATTGAGGATAAATTGTAGGCTTATTTGACTCCTAAATAAGTTTAGTACCTGTAAATATTGTGTTATTTTACTTAAACAAAAAAACTGTTGTATTTCCACAGCAAAACAATGGTTTTCACTAAATCCGGAAACATTAGAAATTGTCAGTAAGACAGAGACTGCCTGGTTTAAACGAAGACGTTTCCTAATAGAGAAGAGTAAAGATGCCAATGTAATTGGTATACTAATATGCAAGCTAGCAGGAGATCAGACAAAAGATATTATAAGCAGACTGAAAGACCTTTGCAAAGTGAACGGAAAGAAAAGCTACATTATATCTGTTGGAAAACCTAATGTTGCTAAACTAGCTAACTTCCCAGAGGTTAGTCGAAACTATTGTTGACTAGTTGTCGCCTTTGACTCCCTTTGCGAGGAACTAAGAAAAAAAAACTTAGTAAGACGCCTACATGTTCTACATTGATGCCAAATTTCAGCAAGATTTGTCCAGTCGTCCTGGAGATACCTTCAAACATATGGATGTTTCTAAGAAGGATGGCCTTCTAAACTTTCCCATTTATAATATTAGTAAGATTTTGTTAAACACATATTTGTACTATATATAATCAAAATTTAGAAATGAATATTAATTTATGCTCTTATCATTTTATTTTCAGATTGATATTTATGTCATGGTTGCTTGTCCAGAGAATGATCTTTACAACAACAGGGATTTCTATAAACCAATTGTATATCCGTTTGAACTTGAAGTGGCTTTGAATTCAATTCGGGAACCTTATTTCACAAGTCATGTGACGGATTATGATGAATTACTCCCGGGCAACAAACACTATTGCGATTTAAATGAAGCTACGGAAACTACAGATGTTAGTCTTATAACTAACAAAATAAGAGAGACAAAAGTTAATAGTTCAATAGAAAGTTCAATGGAATTAGCTGAAAAACAAAGTATGGCTTTAGAAACTATTGGGCAGAATCTTCAAGAAAGATCATGGAAAGGCTTGGAACAGAAATTGGGAGAAACCGAGGTGAAGAAAGCAGAAGAAGGTCGCAAAGGGATACCTCTACAATACAATAATGAACCAGAATAAATTAGAATCACATATTTTTATTTACAAACTCGGAAATGATTAATATTTATAAGAGACTGACTTCTTGTTTTTTTTTGTCATTTCTTGATAATAAGCAGTGATTATAAACATGCAACAAATTTATTAGCCTCAGGCCATCAGACAATACAAACAAGTCTAGATCTTTTGGTTGATTGGATTTTGTGGAGACTTTGTCCATTCTTTCCTGAGCATCTGCTTGAGTTGGGACAGTCTCAGTGTAGGATTTTCTGCCTTAAGTCTCGGCAGATTCACTTCTTCAAATGCCGTGAATGCTGCTTTTAAACGTTTCTCAGGATGTTTATCAGTATCCAATTTGTCACTGTAAAAAAATGTAATTTATTTAACTGAATAAATTAATGTTTTAAGAACACATAGTCATGTTTTAAGTAGTAGCAAGAACATTATTACATAACTGCAAGCTTGCTTTATAGTGTGATCAAAAAAATTCACAGTGGGCTAATTAATAGGTAGACCCTTTGGGTCGACGAATGGGATTTCTATAGGATTCAATTGGCCAAATAAGAAAGATCAACTAATTACATATGCTTAAACCCTAATATGTGTATATTATATTATACATATCCTATTAGATGAAAGAATAGATATGGTTATAAATTATCTATGCTCCTCCCCTTCTAATTTCAGCAATATGGGTGTCCATAATTTTAGTTTTAAATTAAAGACAATATTTACCTCAATATAGTGATAGCTTCTTCTACTGATTGTGCCACTTCACCCTCCAGCTGCAACCTGTTTAAATTTTCTACAAGTGGAGGCTCTTCAACCACAACTCTTGAAGGCTGTGAAACACAAATTATGACAAATGAACACACAATTCAAAAACTATTAAACAAGAATTATATCTACCCCATAAATTAATGGTATATTTATTGTGTTAGTTATGATGTGATGAAAAGAAAATGAACAGTCCTATAATACTTATACTGCCACCAATGTGCAGTAAGCAATAAAATATGACTACTGTTGGCACCAACAGCACTTCATAAGGTGTTGTCGCACCATGCAATGCCCCTCCCGCACATAGCACTTCACTTGCCGTTGAGGGCCAGTTGAAGAGTGGGTGCCAACAAGTAAAGTCAATCACTTTGCCTCCTAATGATTTATTTGTGTGATTGAACTAAATAAATAATTATAAACAACAACCACAAATGAAAGGCTTCTTCATCTGGAAGTTGTTGGACATGAATATCAAAATACAAACTGAGGAAGGCATGTTCAACATTGGATTGATTCAGGCTGATGAAAATATTCTATTAAAAATAACTCACCACAGGTTTTTCAGGTTCCGCTTTCATAGACCTTTCTCTTATTTGTTCAATCTGTGCTCTAGTTATCTTTGGCTGTGGGGCTGCTTTCACATTGCCTTTGATTGATTCCATCTCTTGTTCCAACAGCGCTTTAGCTTCAGCTTTTTTCTTTAATTGCTCCAACCGCTTTTTCTCCATTTCTTCCTAAAACCACAAACATTCTTTGGCATTTCTATTTCAATAAGACTATAATGAACTAAATATATAATACTAAATACTACTTGAATGCAATTGACTTGAGTGTAAATCCTTAATACAAGAAAAGAAGACTATTGCACCTTCTTTTGCATCTTCTTTTTCAACTTATCATCGTCATCTTGCCAAGCGGATTCTTCTATCATTTTCTTAAGTTTTTGATCTTTTTCTTGCTTTGCAAGTTCCTTACGCTCCCGCGCGGCTACCGCCTTGCTATTTTCACCGACAAACTTTTTCGGCATGTTAATCTAAGAAAATATACAAAGATTTAAAAACGCAATAGCATTACAGTATAGGAACATCACTCAATACTTATGGATAATTATGTAGCAGTTTGTAAACAAATCACAACAAAAATAAAATAAATCTTTCCTAGTAAACTTACAATATTTTAGTATAAAACTATATGGGTATTCTTTATTTTTGCGATATTTGACAATTTTTTTTTTTTTAATTTTATGTCCTGGTAACATAGACCTTTAGGTCATATCTTATTTGGAAAATGTTCATTACTTTGGATATAATTTTTCCACAACCACGACTCAACAGATTAAAATTTGCATTGACGTTTAAAAGAACGTTAAAAAATAAATTAAATATTTGTTCAAATTGCGTACTTACATTTAGGAGCTAATGACGTTATAATATTCTCAACTTTTGCATAAAAAATATAGTCTTAATCTAATTTTGGTACAAAACAAAAACCCTTTGAATGAAAACCGTTGCTTCCTATCTAAGGATAAAAACGAAATTATAGTGTCAGAGTGACATTGACACCCTGACAGCTATTTGGGTTGGTGATTTTTTGACATATTATTTTAATTTCTCTCATGTTCTCTCTTTATCTTTTCTGTTAGTTTCTTTTAAAGTATTGTTTACACAATTCTTTTGAAGAATTGAGCTTTTTCAATTAATGTAGAATTAGGAATATCAAGATAACGCTAAAGTAAAGTGATAAAATCCATAATGTCTTTAGTTGCTTACGATAATAGTGATTCGAGTGATTATGAAGACGAGGACCAAGAAAGTTCGTCAGTCCTATTGACTAAATCAGTGGAAGGTAAAAAGTTCACAGGTTTTGTTTCCTTTATTTCTTAAACTTTGACATTATTCGTGTATACATATTTTTTTAATTATATGTAGATAAAGTTCCAAAACCATCTACATCACAGAGCATAAGTGTAAAAGAACTTGAAAATGAAATTGATAATAGTTTGTTTAATGCTCTGCCACAACCAACGAAGAAAGTGTCTGGCATTATTGAAGAGGAAGATGAGTTTTTACACAAAAAGGAGACTGCAAGTAATGCTGTTAAGCCCAAATCTAAAATAACAGTACCATCACTGAGTGATGTAAGTAAGAACATTAATGAGTAAAGTTGTACAACCTTTATCTCGACATATTTCAAGATCAATTTATGAAATGTTGATGTTTTTTTCTTACAGTTTAAAGATGTAACTGACACAGTACCTATTGCTAAACCCAGAGCTGTAGATGGTGTAAGTTGATACATAATTTTCATTACTTTATTTGTAAACAAACAATTGTTAACTTATATTAAATAATATTATTTTATATCATAGAAAAAGTCTGGACTGCTAAGTATCTTACCACAGCCTAAAAATGGAATTGTATCAATAAAATCAACAAAATCTTTAATACCAAATGTATTGAGGCAAAACGCAGGCAGCAGTAGCATTAAGAAAAAGGCACCTTTACCAACACCAATGAAGAAATCTAAATCAGAAACAATATTAAAAGATTCAGATGATAGTGACAATGATGAAGTACAAAATGATTTCTTTTCAATAAACAAGCCTGTTGTTATTGAAGACATACCCTTACAAGATGAAGACACAGAGAAATTGTCCGAAGTCAGGAGTACAAAAGAACCAAGAAGCATAGAGTCCTACTTCAAAAAAGATGTTGATCATGTTGATGTAGAACCATGTTTATCTTCATACAATCAGATGGAAACAGAGTCTGTAGCAAGCTTAGATACTGCGTCTAGCTCACAACTGGAAGATAATAATTTGGTTCTTGATGAAGAAGCTGTAAGTAAAATTTTATACTCTTTATATATTTTAATCTTTCACTAACTTCACTAATATCAAATTAAAAAAAAAACTTGGGACTGTCATTGTCTATGGATTACTATAAAAATGGTTTTTTCTTCTTTAGCTAAGTTAAATTGTATTATTTTTCTTATATTTATTATTTATTTTAGATATTGAAACTTGTTGGTGCTCGAGGGAAGCGCAAGAGAGAGGAGATTCAAATAGTTGACTTCAATCAACAAGAGGTACTTGCAGAGGCGAGGCAGTTGCTGCTCAAAGGACTCATGGATGACACCAGCAAAAGAGTTTCCGCAAGCAAAAAGAAAGGCAATGAACCTACAAACATGCAGAAAAGGAAACACCAGATTACATACTTGGCTCATCAGGTAAGTTGTTATTCAGAAAATTTAGTAATAGTCCTAAAACTTGATATATTTGTAGTCTACATAACAGATAAAAAAGCACTTTTGTGGAAAAAACTGTAATTAATAAGTAGAAAATTAAAAATTTTACTTAGTTAACTGCTATTATAAGTAAAGTTTTATGTTACAATCTGTTAGTTTACTTCAATTTTTTTTTTATTTTCAGGCAAAGGCAAATGAGGTGGAGCTTCAAAACAAATGGGCAAATAACAGAATGTCTAAACGGCAGACTCAATCTAAATATGGATTTTAAGTTTTCATTACAATCTCAGTATAAGTGTAGATTAAGATGTGTAAATAATAAGTTTGAAAATAAAACATCAACATTTAAACATTTGTTTCTATAATTTAAACCTACATTAGTTTAGAAATAACTACAATCTCTTGGCTTTCCTTGGTCGGGGAGGGTTCCAAGACACTCGGGTATTGTCAGTCACTGACACTATGTCTAAGCCACCCATTTGTAGACCTTTCACTGCAGACTGAAAAAAATAAATCAATTTTAGTTTAGTTAAATATGTTTTATACACATTTTATTAATTTTTCTTACCAATCTACCAGGTCCTAAACCTCTGACTCGCACTCTCACAGTTTTGTATCCTTTATTTATGGCTTTCTGAAAATAATTTTTATAAAGTCCTTTATAAGTATTCTACAACATAAATTTACATTAAAAACATTTATCAAATATTTAAATAAAATATTGCGAATTTAGAAGGTGCATTTTATCTTTCTTTTCCTAAATTTTACAATACAATATGAAAATCATAATTTTCATATAAAAAATTGCCTTAACTTATTTTTTTTTTGATTAGGAATGTAAAATATAGAAAAGAAAACTTACTGTAGCAATACTGATGGCAGTGGTTTGTGCGGCTATGTTTGTACCCTTCTTTGTGTTTTTAAAACCTTCCATACCACATGATCTAGTGAATTTCACCGCGCCAGCGGAGTCGGTTACAGTGAAAATTGTGTTGTTGTGAGTGACTCGGATATTGCATATCGGAAGATCTTTGTATGGAACACCATCGAATAAATAGTTGTCCGATTCCAAAGTGGGAAATAAGTTTTGTTTCCTTAAAATTTAAATGATTACTATTACTAAATCTTAACTATTTGTATTTGAAGTGTGTAGCTGTAACTGGTATGTTCACCTTTTACTTTACTTACAACTTTAAGACTGAGTCTAAGTCAATAATTTTCTCCCCTTGGACACCCTCATCATCTGCGGGTATCCTTTTATGATCAAACTTTTCTGTCGCTTGCGGAGTGGTTGTGTAAATAGAACGTACTATCGAATTAGTTGTTGCTCTGATAGTATTTCTTATAGCGCTTAACATTGTTAATTGATTTAAAATTCTCCCATATAACCTATTTTACTTTACATTAGCTTGACATCTGTCATTGTTTCTGACAGTTTGTAAATTGACAGATGACAGCTGTTGGGAGTAACAGAGTATAAAATAAGACGTCGTGATTTACCATGCATCGTTATAGTTTTATGGAAAGCGATAATTTATATAATTTTCTCTGATTACTCGTTTCTTGTTTTTCAAAGATTTAATCGCGCGAAGGTAAAGAAAAAAAACTTTTTTAAATTGATGTATAATTTAATAACTTATTACAGTGTAATTGTAAAGTAGAATTGGAATTATATTTATAATTTATTGATTAAGAATATTCTTAAAGTAGAGAACGGATTGCGTGAAGCCTCTGAGGGGCGCCGGCACTCCGATGTGCAATAGTTGCAGCTGCCCGGCTTCGGCGATATAGTTTGCTTTTTTTAGTTGGTCTATCGCCCAGCTAACCGTATATGTATTTAGTTCATCTTTGGTCGCGTCCTTATTGATGATGTAGTTGATGGTGTGGGAGTACAGGACGGTGGGTACGAGTGGAATGAACATATCATTGTCGAGCAACTCCTTGATGAGATCATCTTCTATTTCTTGCTTTCGCACCCATTCCTGTAAAACGCAAATTTTAATTACTTTGAATAAGTGCTCCAAGTATCAAGCTTGGGTTTTTCCAAATAATATTCAAGGTTAATGCTTAATGCTAATGCCAGCTCAAATTGATGTGTCATGTGTGAATAGGAAGGTTGTACCTACCTTATGTCGGTCCAGCAGCGACAGCACGAGGCGCGGCGTGTGGTCGCAATGATTGAGCAGCGCGAGCCACACGGCGCACAGCGCGCCACCTTCCGGCGCACTCTCGCACAGGCACTGCACCTCCTACACAACATACAAATTTTACTTACTATATCTCTACAAATAAAATAACGAAGTGTATGGAACAATTGAGAAAAATTGTGCTTATATTTTTTTTTTTGGGAAGACGTAAAACGCGCCATGCACCAAGACGTCCTCTGAGCAGTATTATAGAAAATTACTCGATATATTGAACTATTTTTAGTATAATAGACCTCGTCGTCTAGGATGGGCTCTCGTAGCAGCAGCTTGATGAGCACGAGCGCCTCACTCTGCTCCGCGGCGTTCAGCAGCGTGTGCACGTACTCGCAGTGCAGGCTCCTGCCGTCTCTGTCGCACACGGACAACACGTATATAAATAACCGTGGTTTTCTTAGACCAAAATCTCTGTTTGCCAAAGATGAAAGACAGGGATAATTTTATGCAAAGATTTTGGATCCTAGAAACCCGCGATAACTTCATACTATTCTTAATTTAGTAATTAACCACTGTTATAAAAAAACTATGTTTTGGTGTATACGTAGAGACAGATTAGTATTTATTAACTAAAAAATATTTTTTTCTAACCACAAGAACCATCTTGTGGTGGAGCATCAGTGCTAACTGACGAAACATTTACAAACAAAAAGCACAATAAAATTCGAACTGTGTTTAAAACTGCTTTAGCAGTATATTTATTCAAGTGATAAGTTAAGGAAGGTATACTGACTGTTCCTTGGTGGGCGGCCAGCAGTTGAGGACGTCGACGAGCGCCTTCTTCTTCTGCCACGAGTCTGACAGCGACATGAATTTGCTGAACACCTCGCGACGACCCTCCTCCGACAGCAACTGATCATCTATTAAAAAGTACTGAACTGAATCTATTGAAAGAAAACTGGTATAGGTTCAATTTACTTCAATTTTTTTTGTCCGCTCAAGGTAAGCTGCGCAGTATCCTTCCCCTGCTACACCTAAAATTGTGTTTCGCAGTTATTTGTGGGTTTTCGAGCCTCTAAACTATTTTATCTTTTCTATACCTGTGAGTTGTTGTGCGTATTCTAGATCGGGCCACTCATTGCGGAGCAGCGCGGCGGTGGAGTGCGCGAGATGGTCGAGGTGCGGCGTGCGCGTGCGCCGGCTCAGCGCCAGCAGGCCCAGCTGTCTGTGCGGCGGCAGCTGCAGCGCCTCCGCGCGACTTACCAGCGCACTCACCACCTCCTCCGGGAACTTCACACCTTCCTTGTGGTATTGACACACGCGCCCCACTAATATCTCGATTGATCTGGAACGGTACATAGAATAAGTCTTTTTAACACACAAGCGGTGGACTAAACAAGTCCCCCCCTAGCTTCGTATTAAAGATCGAGACATCTTTTTATCAAGATAAGACATGGACCATTATAGAAACTAGTTTTGTAAATGAAGCTGCATGTATCTGTTTGAAATACAAGAAAGGACAATTTAGTATATACAAACTGCAGGTCATTAGCGTAGTGTGCGAGCCTGTGCTGGAAGAGGTGGTGCGGGGCGAGGTTGAGATGCAGACAGTGCAGCAGGGAGGCGAGCGCGGCGGGCCGCACGCCGCACACCACCAGCTCGCCCAGCGCACACGTCGCGCGCTCCACATCGCCGTGACTCATCTCCAGCTCGCTGCACACAATATTACATACCTCGACTTATTTTAAAACATTTTTCAAATAAAAATGATATATTTATGCGACAATAACATAAAATCTAGTGAACATATCGGGATGGAATTGTAAGTTATCGATGGGGAATCGTCCCTACATGGTTATGGGCTATTAGTTTTATTTTTCCGTTGATCCTTCCTAATATTTTAACATTTTTATATTTATAAATATTTTGTTCGATTTCGTAGACATGTGTGCATTATTGTTGATACAGACGTCCAGCCGTTTTCATCAGGAATATCGCTGGCGTGCCGCAGCGCCTGCACTGCTGCAGAGTGGTAGTTGTCGAGGAAGCGCGCCCACCGCGTCACCTCCTCCCCCACCTGGCTCCACGACTGCTCGCTGCACACATAAACACTCTTAAATAATTATTATAAGACGCAAACGCGCCATTTCTTAGTTTTATATTATTTCTATCATTAATACGTTATTTTGGAGTATTTTATTGTTATAATTGACAGTAAAATAAAACATTATTATTCAAATAAAAACGCAAAACTCACTTCTTACTAAACTTGTAGTCGTTTTCCTGTTCTTGCTGGCAGTAGTCCACCGCTTGCATGAGCATTAAGTTTCTAGTTCCTGCAGGTACTCTGTTTTAAGACAATTTAATATTTTTAAATCATCTACATAAAGCTAAACACAGACAATAAGATGTAAACCACACCGAGATACATCTGATTTTTAGACATTATTAGTTTGAATCCTTTGGCCTTGGTCAGAATGTTAAGTGAGGGGACATAAACGTCGACATTTTAGTAAGGCTAGTGTTGTGTCAGTACACCGGCATAGTGTCGGATTTTCTGCCTAACATTATGTAGTTACCGTTTGACAGCGTCTGAGCTGAAGCAGGTGTCGTTGAGGAATCGCAGCAGGTCATCCTTGGCCAGCTTATTGAAGTAGCTGGCGCATTGCCGGTACTGCTGCATCCACTTTTTGTTGCTTGCGTTCGCGCCCACCTGCATATGCATGTATATTACATGTTTAATTAAGGATATCTATGGCCAGCGGTAAGTTCGCTCTTTTCGCGAATTTAGGTAGCCGTTCACTGGATTGCCAACTTATAAAAAAATCTTCACTAAAATACACTGACACTAAAGAAGTGTTTAGTGAGCCAGGTGGTGTAGAGCGAGTTGACGGAGAGAGGCAGCTTGATGGCGGGCGGCAACGTGCGCAGGAACTTGCCCACCATGCCCACGTTCTCCGGCCGCAGGATGTGCAGCAGGTGCGCGGTCAGCTCCTGCACACATGGCTGGCTCACCAGCAACTTGTAGTCCAGATCTGGAAGTTATCTCATTATTTCAATATAAAGTATTACTAAATTAACAAAATAAAAATTAACAATTATTATAATTAAAAAAATTAGTATTAAGTTGCAGAAAACTTTTATGGAATGATGAAGCCATACGAGTACTGTAAATAGTTCTCAAAGCAATAGAATTATAATGATGCAAAGAAAAACTGTTGTCCAAAAATAAAGAAATTTGAATTTTAAAACCTTAAACCCACGATGCAATTTATTTATTATCATGTTGTATAAATTGAAAACAGCAACACGGCATCTAAACAGCTCTTTTACGTTGTTAAAATGCCTTTACTAAAACACGTTACATTTATAAATCCATCAAATTCTAATCACGACTACATCTAGTTGTCAACACTTCCCGCGCGATTCTCTTCTTTATTTTCACCTATTTTTTTTTTCATAATTGAAAAGGCAAAGGTTCTTTGGTCAGTGTGCCACGTCTTTGGCAGAATGTTTAATTCTGTACTCAACATAAGTTTAATTTAATTCGTGCCAATCTAAATACACTTCGTGTGAAAGCCAAGAGAGATGAGAAAAAAATCATGCCAATACATTTTTTTACTATAAGCAATGACAATGCATGTGTTTACATTAGAAAGAAGACTCGCTGCAACGTTACCTGGTGAAGCTGCCTTTGCCTTCTTGAGCAGTTTGATGTGTTCCTGTGCGGTGAGGCCGTGTATGTGGGGGCGGTCGTCCACACGCTGCAGCAGCCCCAGCACGGCCAGCAGCTCGCCGTGCTCCGCGCCCCCGCACGCCTCCCACAGAGCTTCTTTTATACTGGCATAATGTTTATTATTTAGTTATGCTGTATTAACCTCGACATCTGCTAAAACGTAATTGTAACATTGCCTACTTTAAGTAATTCTTAAAAAAGTTTGTAATTACAGCCTATTATTATTGTAAAACCTTTAACTAAAAATTTGTATGGATTTTTTCGCACAAGTTTGCTTTGAAGTTATAAAAATTTATTTTACTGACATTTACCAAGAGTTAAAATCATATAAATTCAATTTTTTTATTTTCGTAGACTGACCGTGTGTGTGCATCAGGCGTGTTCTCTGGCATGAGGTTGAGGAGGCGCGTGTCTGCGCGCGCGTGCGCAGCGTGTGTCAGCCACACGTCCATCTCATCGAGCGAGTGCCGGCGCGCCAGCGCGCACGCAAGCCGCACCTGCGCCTCATCTGTACTCCTGGTACAACACATATTATGTATGCTGTCATCATCAGAAAACATGACTAAACAGGTAACAACACTGAGAATATTCAAAAGTTAATTAATAGAAGTTATTTGTGATATTAAACTAATTAAAGAAAAGTTTTTAAAAGATATTTATGTTAACTAAGATTTATGGAGCAGAAAGGTGATAAAATTATGACAGTGCTTGTGTCCGATAAACATGAACCTATGCAAGTATATTTAAGTAGGAGACTGAGAATAAATCATAAAAATCGCGCCACATAATAAAAAAAAACTATCCTTCCTTTAAGATTATTAGTGTTGGTATATTAACTAATACATAATTTCAATCAAGTAAGTATAGCCGAAATAGCTCAGTTGGGAGAGCGTTAGACTGAAGATCTAAAGGTCCCTGGTTCGATCCCTGGTTTCGGCAATCCACTTTTTGTTGAAGAAATTCAAAGTAAAACTTTTTCTTAATTTAAGGTAATAAAATATTTTGTCTTTTAATTTATCTATTATATCTATTTATTTTTATATATAAATACAATTTATGAATGCAATGTATTTTTGATTTGCATAAGATTAGCGGCATTTAAATTAAAGTTGTGTAGTAGTTATTTTCCATACCTGGCGAGCCTATAGATAATCTCCCGTCTATAATCAGGATCCGCACCGAACAGCAGTCCGTTAACATTAACTCCGAATTCCCGCATGCGCTTCACATCCAGCTCGCCAGCTAGCTGCTCCAGGCACAACCTGATGGTGGCAAGCTGCTCCTCCGTAGCATTGCTCTGCTTCAATGTGCTTCGAGCCATCTACGTAACAAAAATTTAGTATAAAACAGAACTTTAAAAACTCGTCTAGTAACTAATTTTAAATTTCTGATAAAGCTCACCTGTTTGGGTTGAGCAAGATAGACATTGTCTTTGAGTTCGGAGGAGTTGCATTGCAGCAGCGTGGCGTATAGCGCGGCGCTGGCGGCGGTGGGCGTGTGGTGCGTAAGTGCCAGCCGTTCCGCGCCGCCTGCCGCACGCACCAGGCACGACACGCTTAGCGGCGTGTCATTGTATAACAGTTCCTCACCACATTTCTCCAACACTAAAATCAAAATGAACAAACTTTATTTTTTATTTCATTCATATTTGGAGAAAATCCGTTACTTTAAAACTAACGTTACGTTGTCTTAAGACATGTACAAACTTACTTTTGTTTCTGAAACTTTTAACTTCTATGACTTAATTGGAAACAAAACCGTGCAATCTTCAGTTACCAGGCGCACATAGAGAGGAGGGACTTACCGTCAGCTTCAAGCTGCATGTTGGCGTTGTCGAGCAATGCGGAGTGCGTGTAGTACCAGGCGAGCAGCGTGCGACCGAGGCTGGCGGCGGGCGCGGGCATGGAGAACCGCTCGTAGCTGTACTGCGCGCTGCACACGCTGTGCTCCGGGTACAGGCAGCGGTAGAACTCCGGACAGTGCACACTATGCTCTATCGCCTCCTCTGATGAGTCTTTTGTGTCACTGCAAATGCTTATGATATAAGACAAGTATTGAACAAGCATGAACGTTAGCTAAAAACTAAATCAAATAAGACTTACCTTAAATTTAATTTATCACGGACTGTGTCAATAAGGTAATTAAATATAGGGAGTTTTTGAGGGACGAGATCTTTCTTCTCGACGACTGGCTAGAAATAAAAGACAATTCAATTACTACAAAAATAAAAATTCTGAATGTTATGATAATTAGCCAAAGTTTGTAAAATTTTAGTTACAGTGGTGACAGCGTCGGCGAACTCTTCATCTGTGGATTGACGGCGCGTGGCCAACTTCATCTGGTCCGCCAGGCCCGAGCCCGTCTGCTGCAGGTTTTCTACTTCCAGATTCAAACTGTAGAAAGAAAATATTACCATCAACATTACTTTAGTACATTTGGTATAAAATTAGCTCGTCCAAAAATGTGATGTATTGTTTAAAAGGCGATCGAATTTGTATTCCGTTTCATACAAAGTACATAATCATAATAATTTTAGAATCTATCTATATTGATTTAGGCAATTTGTGCATCAACAGACCGGTCACAAAGCACTGCCTCGAGATCAGCGGGCGCGGCGTGGGCTGCGGCGGCGGCGAGCAGGGCGCGGCGCTCGTTGAGGTCGGCGTGTGCGTGCGCGCGCTTGGCGGCGTCTGCCAGTAGCGGCGCAGCGGGCGCGTATCGGAGTGCGGCCAGCCGGCGCGCCGCCGCCGCGCACGCCGCCCCGCCACCACCGCCTGCACCCAGCGCCTGCTCCCCCACCAGCTGCAGCACCATCCCTTCGCTGCAACACATACAAAGTTAATAACTTTACAATATTTAAAAGGTGTTAAGTGCATTTTTCCGCGTTAAAAAAAAAACAATCATCTTTAATGGCAACTAACGGAACAACTTAGTTTACGGGTAATACGTAATGAAAGTTTACCGCGTGATCTCGTCATCTCCGGCAATTCTGAGCAGTTTAGCTAAATTGAGCAACTTGTGACTGGCGAGGTAGGCGTTACGGTTTAGCGTCAGACATTCCTTTATCAACAACATTCTGTCTTCGCAGAGACGAACTGAAAATAACATTAAAAAAATAAAGTTTTTTTAAAAAAAAAAGCATAATTGATGAGAATAATAAAAAACGAAAAACAGGAGTACCTTGTATAGGAAGGATCGTCAGACCAAAACTATTTAATAGACTGAGTGAACTAATGAGATCTAGCTCCTTCTTTATATCTTCGTTTTCGTCTTCTATCAATGATAAGCAGCATCTGTGCAGCAATAAATTATATTTTATTTTCTTTTAAAAAAAGTAATTTTTGTAAACAAAACCGTAGAATCTTCATTCATCAAATTCATAGAAACTTTACTTGGCTAGCTCCAAAGCGGGATCTGTGAGCGAGGATGCTGAGTTGAAGTACTCTTTGGATGAGTCAATGACGAGCTGCACGGAGCGCAGGTAAGGCAGCGCGGGCGGGGGGCGGGGCTGCGCGCGCGCACACGTCAGCGCGGACGCCGCGAGACGCACGCTCGCCGCCTCGCCCGACGCCAGGAGCGCGGACGAGTATATCTAGACAAGTAACAATGATAACCTTCTAGTAAATATTTCATTTTGGAGCATATTACTAAAAATTCAAACTGTGGTTTTGTACACAAAAAATGGAAAATTACCTCATAGCATTGCTCCTTAGTAACACAATCAAACAAGGTTGCTTGCAGTTCCAGAATATCTTTGAGGAGGGATTCCCAGTCTTGCGGCGTTGGCTTTTCTTCTCTAAAAAATTGCCATTCTCTATATATAAGACACCATAAACTTTACTGTTTGAGGAGCATGATAATTTTTAAGCTTGTTTACCGTTGCGACAGGGTGCGCGCGAGTCTCGCCAGCAGCCTCTGTGCGGCGCGTGCATCTCCGAGCATGTCTCGCAGGTCGCGCAGCGGCACGCGCACGCCGCGCCACGCCGCGCGCGTCGCCCCGCCCACCAGCCGCTCCAGCGCAGACACGCGCCGCACCAGCTCGCTGCTGCTGATCGTGCCGTCACTGACACAACACAACGGTAAACACTTCAAAATATAAACGGTAAATAATTGACTAAAAGATAACGTTAAGGTATAGTGTTTATCTCAGATTTACATTAGCGATTTAGAAGATTGTGAAGATCTATGGTGACCTTAAGTACGATTAAAATACTCTTTTTGGTGAAACTAAAGTGTTTTTGACAGTATTAGTACGACTTACGTTTCCTTGAGGATGCAGTTGAGGAGGTCTACGGCCATTTCGAGTTGATCGGTGCCGTTGTGTGCGAACAAACAGCGTTCCGCCAGCTCGATGTGCGTGCGCACGTCCAGCTCAAACTCTTTAGGAGACTGCAGCAACTGACAAAAAAAAATCAGTGAACACCTGCTACAACAGTAATATTATAGCAAATACGGTGTGATTTTATGAATAATTACGAGCAATATATATGAGAGGTCTTCAATGCTGACACTCTCCACGAAGTCTATGATGCCGCACAGGCAGGCGCCGGCGCGCTGCGTCAGGTTCTCGAACCGCTTCATGAACGGCACCACGAACTGCTTCACGTCGGCCACGAAGTTCTCCGGCGTCGTCTGACAACATAAACAATATATTACTAAGGAATTATATTTGATAACCACGATGGCGAGGGGGATTGCCGCGCCCCTGCATGACTTAGGCGTGGTTACAATGTGCTACAACCGCACTTTCTTTCTCTCTCCCTTTCTATTTTTACACACCATTTTCATGAGCAGCTTGCACGTCTCAAGCGGAGACATCTTCTCCAGATCACTGAGCGTGACCCCCTCCACATTGATGTCGTAGATCAGAGTGCTGAGGGTCAGGAGATGGAAGAGTATATTATCGAGGCCCTTGACTCCGCCGCCGATGGCCGCGAGCGTGACGAGTGCGAGCGCGTGCGAGGCGAGCCCGCTGCGTGCTTCTATATCCCGCGCGCGTCTCTCGTACCACACCGCGTAGTCGACGAACTCCTCGCTGGCTGACTCCGACTCGGGAGTCGTGTCCTCTGACCAGTTCGAGCTCCAGATGGATCTGTAAATCAATTCAAAAAATTAACTTCAACATATATGACTACAAAAAGGATGAATCGCCTTCTTAAGATTTGAACTGTATTTTTAGATTTTAGAACTAGTTTTGTATATATGAACGTCTTATGATTTACTCACCTAAAGATCTGTTTCCTACACCAATCTCTCTCAATCTCGAGGGGTTCTACTTTGACTGGTGGTCTATGTTCGAACATCTGCAGAGGGTGTGTGGTGGGCAGGATGTGCTGAAAGTCTAGGGGGTTGATGATCTCTGGCAGGTTGTCGAGCACGGCCAGCTGCATGGGCACGCTGCGAATGTGGGGCCAGAGGCAGGTGAGGGCTTCGATGCGGCCCTCCTTAGCGATCTCGACGGCACTGTGCACTATACTGTTGCTGCGCAGACAGTCGTACTCCTCTTTGTTGTACGTTGACTTCTCACATTTTAATATCGACTGAAACCAAACCATTTTTTTTTAGTTCATGGTGTATTAATGCATAGATATGTTAATTATTCATTATGTACTGTTAATTATGGTTGTGTCATAAAAATATGCTAGGAAAGGTGTCACAGTGTTACCTCGTACAGACGCAGCCTCTCCTTGTAGAAGAGCATGACATGCCGGCAGCGCAGCAGCTCGCTCGTGTATGCGTTCAGATCCTCCAGAGTTATGTCCTCCGGGTCCTTTAACTTATCATCACCACGCTCTTTATTGATTTCTGTAAGCAAGAGTAAACAAAAAATGTATTAGAAAAAAAGTTTTCATTTTCTCTGTCCGTCTCTCTCTCTCTCTCTCTCTCTATCTAACTGTTCCAATATTACGTTAGTTTCAATTTGTATGAAAATGTAAAGAAGTATAGAGATGTGTTACCATCAAGTATCCTCTCGTTGGTGAGATGCAGGCCGAAGCGCAGCAGGTCGTTGGCGGCGGGTAGTGTCTCCGGCAGCCGGTCCACGCACTGGTGCACCGCCCAGATCTTCTTTGATACTTTACTCTGCAAACATTTAAAATGCCTTGTACATTATTGCAATCAGAATACCTGAAGATCACGTTTAAGGTTAAGCTAGGGGAAACCTTGGACAATTGGTTGCTAGTGATTTTTTTAGTTGGGTTTTAAAAAAAATTATAAAACTTCTTGCTGTAGTTTATGTTACCAGGTAATTGTCAATCGCGTCAGTGGAGACGGGGTTCTTCCTCCACTGCTGCTGGTACACGAGGTCGCTGTCCAGTCCGAACTGTTCCGCCAGAGACAGCGCCTCCGAATAATTTCCGCTTTCGATCTAAAACGATCAACTTTATTTATTTTTCATTCAGTCATTCGTTCGTTAATGAATGAATGGTTAAACGCAATATCATTCACCTTTCTAGAAAACAGTTCAGTAGGCGTAGTACTCTTGACTCCCAGCAGCCTGTACACTCGGGAGACCACGGTGATCTTCTTGGGCTTGGGCTGGAAGGTCTCCATGTCGGTGATGGCGAACAGTACCGTCTTGAACAACTCCTTCGTCAGCTCCAGCATTGAGTCATCCACATCCTCTTCCACTTTGACAACCTCCATCTAGATAAACATTATGGAGCTTACAACTTATTTTTATACTCTTAAATATCGTTGTCAACAAACTTAACTGTACAGATGGAATTAAAATAAAACTTAGTAGTCTAGTAGTAAGATGGCTTACGTTTACTTTAACTATGGTAATGTTTTTTTAGAAAACAAAAAAAAACAGCCTTTAATTTACGATAAAAGAAATTTCAGAACAGTAGTTAAATAATATTGTAAAGTAATTACTAATAAGTATGTGATAAAAAATGGATATTGACAGACAGACGGACGGACAACAAAGTGATTCTATAAGAGTTCCGTTATGTTCCGTTATTTTCCTATGAGGTACGGAAATCTAAAAAAAAATAAAAATCATCTCACAGTTTCATCGCTGGTTGACTTGTTGGCAGGCAGCACATTGGACTCGCACTCCAGCACCATGAACGCACCTTCGTGTGCGCGCGTCACCTACATCATACAATACTTTTATTATTCAATATGCACTTTTTATCATTTTATGTCATTTTGTGTATGTGTGTGCATGTGTGTGTGTGTGTGTGTGTTGGTGTTTATTTTTAAATATGTATGATATAAACCTGCGGCGTGCCCTGGAAGAACTCCGGCTGCTTGCCGAGGATGTTCTCCATGTCCTCTATCCCGCACACGCTCACCGCACCGCTGAACCGGGACAATATTATTTCCTGAAAAAAAAAAAGGTTTAGTGATTACATAACAATAACTGTTATCTATTAAGACCATTTGAAACCGAGATGTATGTATGGAGAAGCTAGAAAGATGTCTCGGCTGTTGGCTTGTCTTAATAAATAATAAAATAAAAAAAGATTAAAGATAAGTCTTTCGTAAGATCGATGTGAAATATTAATTCAGGTGTATCACTGACCTCATTGGTCCACCAGTTGACGTCAGCGGGGTGGAAGAGCGCGGGGTCGTTATGCTTGATGCGGGCGGGTGTGTGGGTGGTGTGCGGGGGGTGGTGGGGTTGCAGGGGGCTGCGCAGGTGGTGGGCGGGCTGGCGGGCGAGCGGCCAGCGGTGCAGCAGTCGCAGCAGCGGCAGCCGCCACACAGACACCTCGCCGTTGCAGTGAATGCACACCAGCTTGCTACTATCCGAAGATACCTCCATACGCACTATGAAGTTCTAAACAAAAGGTAACAAATAAGAAAATGGAATAATAGTCAAGTTAATAGGTGTCTGATTAATATCTTACCATATTCTTAGATGTGATGAAAGGTATGTAGAGGTTGAACCTCTCGTTGTTGAGCTGCGTCTCGAGCTGATCGGACACCACAGACAGCTTGTAGAATGGCTCCTCGTTCAGGATGCGCCACGCCGTTATACCCGCGCTTAGTGGCGACGACACATCCTAACACAATACTTGTATCTTATACACAATACATACAAATAAATCAAAGTATTCCCAACCGTTTCGGAAAGAAAAGGGAATTTTAAGTCAAATAGACGAAAACTTTAAAACATAAATTTCTTTGTACCATAATGTTTACGAAATAAGATTTTTTTTTATATTACATACTCCAAACTTTATTAATGTACATTTAAATAGGTTGGCAAAAATTAAAATATACAAAAAACAATATTTCTATATATGTAACATGTAAAAATACCTTAGTATTCCTGGGCACGCCAGCCACATAGAGAGCGTCGTGCGGCGGGCAGTACGCCAGCGCGGCAACTCCGGCAGGGAAGCGGAAGCTGTGCCGCAACTTGAAGCCCTCCGTCTGCGAGACCACATAGCCACGTAACCGGCCGTCGAACGTCACCACGAGCACCTCCCAGTTCCTACCACATTTACATACAACTGAAATGACGGAAGACAGATTGATCTGGAGAACCAAAACCTAGTGCGTTTATCTTATGTGCATGGAATAAGGACAACATGATACTATACTTATTAGACAGGATAGCTGTCGGAACTTCATCGGATCTATTAAAAAATAATTAATAACCTTTGAATTATTTCAAAATCTATCTGTGTTAAAGATAAAGATTAAAGATCAACTTTATCTGTTTAACCATTGTAGAGTAACAAAGTAAAGAAAAATAATCTATCCAAACACTCAACACATTTATTGTATTAAAAAGATAAGACATCTTTCCAACAGTAACAATTAAACAAACTGTTTTACGGGCAACACAAAAACTATACTTGTTTCATGAAATTCTTACCATTTAGTATCCTTAACTCTGAGTGGCATAAATATAATGTCAGACACTGCATGAGTATTATCTGTGCACTCAAGCCCGCCTGGTCTTGAGCAATCCTAGAAAAAAACATTATTTTATAAAATTTCTAATCACTTAATTCAAAAATAAAAATTTACTTATAACTAAACACAACACAATAGTTACTATTCGAGATTTTTTGTTACAATAAAATAACTTACAGCTGGAATGTTGAACAGGTTAGAAGCGGTGAGGTCAAAAAAGCTGACTATTCCATTGCCATAAGCAAGCACCAAGAATGAGCAGTCAGGACTCCACACCAACTTACGCCACTGTGCATATGCATCACGACTCACTAAAACATCAGTAATTTACTCAAAAATTGGTTAAAAAAAAACAATTATGATTTACTTGATACAATATACTCTTTTTTTAATTTTATTAATATACTTATCTATATCACACCTTCAATGTTTTTTTTAGTTTGACAAACTTACTACCCATATTTGAGTCTTTCCAAAATGCATCAATTGATTTACATTATTCACATTTCTTATCTTTAGTACTTTATCTTTTGTTTTGTATTTTTACTTTTTTATAATCCATATAAGACAATACATTAAACATTAACATAATCTACAATAAAGTAATCTACCAGCATATTGACCTGTAGTTCTAGCTGCAATAGTAGCATATTCTGAACGCTTAGTTCTGATTTCTAAGATACTGTCTGTGAGCACCGCTATTACTTTCCCCTCATCACCAAGAGCAATGTGCCACTTCTGCTGTTTCTCCTTATGTCTGTAATAATTTAACAGAATTTAATTTTTCTATTCTATTTTTACAAACACTTACAAATGAGAAAAATCAGTGTAGTGCATTTCTTGGATGAAATTAACAGAGAGATATTATTAGCTATTTTTTGCTTTAAAAAGTCACATAATAGGATAAATATATTTAATTGACCCAGTGTTACATCTGTAGTTCTTATCTTTAAACGGTTTCTTCATATAACAAAGTAAAAAATACTTACGCTGTAACACTATCAATAAGACTTTTCTTAGGACCAAAAAATTTAAACCATCGCCAAAGAGCCGAGATATTCTCCGGTAAAATACTGTCGTGTTTTTGCTGTAATTACATCAAATATTTTAGAAGTACATGCAAAGAAAATGCTAAAAATAATAAATTATTCATTTAAACTTACTAAATATTCGGGTTCTGGTTTCCATTCGGAAAACACATACAGTTCATGTAAAATAGATTTGCTTTCTGCCATTTCTTTTAGATGTGAAATCGATAAATTACAACTTAATGGTTATTTTTCGAATTATTTTAATAATATTCATTATAATTTCTAACAGGCTCTACAGTATTGCACAGTACTTAACTGTCTTTATGACAGGATATTATTTTGTTGGCGAAAATATTGACGTTTTGCAATTGCTTTACGTTACGTTTTTCGTAATAAAAACATTACTTTCTCGTTCAATCTCATAAGTATAACAAAAGAATATTGATATTGCTTCTTGAATATCTACTAAAATAATCTTAAGCGTTAACTAAGGTTTTGCAGTATTTTTTTTTGTAACTGTAATGATCAAAACTTTATTTCCTTACGTTGTATTGGTGATTAGGAATTTTATTGACTTTTGACATTTGATGTCTGCTTTTCCTCCGCCGGTTTAACTTTAATAAAATAATACTGATCGTACTGATTAATTATTACAATTATTCTTGAAATTAATAAAGTGGCATTTAATTTAAATATGGATTTATTCAAGTAGGTAATTGTCTGTGAATAAGGCAAAACTAGCGAGACTAAACATTTGAATATCCTTTATTTAAATTGTCCTAGAATGGACTTTTTCAATCAAATTTATGAAAGGGTAAGATATAAAATAAACTCTTCTTATATTACATATCAAAATGTGTACATATTTAAAGTTATTTATTTGTAGAAACTGCAAGAAAATAATGAGCAAATTCGATTCTGGGAGGACCATATAAAAGCATTAAATGATGTTCAATTTAAGTTATACTCTGATAAATTAAAAGTGCCAGTGTTAGTACCAATCGGCAGCAGAATTCTATTCCGTGGAGAATTAAAGCATACAAATGAAGTGACAACATCATTGGGTATGGGATACTTTGCAAAATGTTCTACTGAGCAGGCTGAGATTTTAAGACAACACAGAATTAAAGGTACCTTATTACATCTTAAGTTGTTCTTTTTTAATAAAATGTTAACATCTCTCGATGAAATGTTATTTGTTTTTCAAATAGTATTTTTACAAAACTATTGCTTAGGTATAGAATTGCTTCATCTTAATTCTCAATAAATAACTAAATAAACAAAATGTTTTGTAGATGCCAAATCAAAATTAGATGTTGTGATGAGAGAGAAAGAATATCTGGAAGGTCAAAAAACATTTAAAAATCAAACAGTTTTTAATGATAGACCAGAATTAATTGAATATGAAACTGAAGAAGAAGACAGACTGTGGAGAGAAAAACATAAAGAGAACCTTAAACTCTACTATCAAAATAAAAGTAAAAAAGAAGAATTAAATAAAGATGAAATATCTGATGATGAGCTGTGGAATAGACTTGAAGAGTTAGAACTTCAAGAGGAATTACAAAATGAACTAGCCGAAGATAATGAAAATATGGAAGATGTAAGAGATTCATTAACATATAATAAAAAGAATGAAGACCACATTGAAAACATGGATCAGAGGAAATATGATATTACAAAAGAAATTCTTGATAAAACAGTGTCTAATGATACACATATTAATCCTGAAAATACATGTAGATTGGACCTTCTACAAAATGTTTTAGATAAGCAAAAAGAACTGGAGGAAAAAATATTTGAGATTAAAAACCGGGAGAGAAATGTGACCAAAACTGAATCTGATTTGATGTCTCGGCTAGATGAGTTGGAGCAATTAGAGGAAGTGGAAGATGAAATGGACAGGTAACTCTTAATTTAATTAATTTAGTGACACAGATATAGATAGGTCTTGATAGATTATGAAAAGACTTAAATTATATCTAAACTTATGTACTAGCTGTCGCCCATGACTCCGTCCGTGCAGAATAAAAAAAAATATTTTGCCATGTTCTGCCAGACTATGTTCTATATCTATCTGTGCTATATTTCGGCGTGATCCATTCAGCCGTTTCAAAGATATCTTAAATCAAACATCTATCAAATCAAATAATCAAATTCTTTTAAATGAAATTACAGGTTAGATGATGTTCTTTATGAACCTGAACCTGCAGACGAGGTAGAAGAAAATAAAAATAGTGTAAAAGTAAAGAGGAGTGTGTCCTTTGCTGATCAAGATGAAAGTGAAACATTGGAGATAACTTTTAAACATTCTAACGTACCAGCAAATGAAGATTCATATGATCCAAAAAAAGGCATATTGAAACCAAGTGATGTATATGACGCATTTTCTCATCTCTTCCCAGAAACAACCTCAATATTGAGGAAAACAAAGTATAAACCAGAAACAACAGAACCGAGCAATGATCTCGAACAAAGTAAAAAAATAAATTTCGAATTTAAAAGGGATAATGCCACAAATATTGTATTTGTATTTGATGATGTTAAGGAAAAAGAATTATCTAAACAAAGAATTTTAGACAACAGACATAAAAGACCTGTGAGTATTTTCAAAAAACGGCGGCAGCAAAAACATTAAAATTGTGTAATATAAAACCTTAATGTAATATTTTAGGAATAAGTTTAATAAAATAATATTGAAACATATTTTAACCATGTCATGCCTGTTTTATTTAAAATACCTTAAACTACCAATTACTCGCCGCCAATAGCCTAAGCCCAAGGTAGGAACTACGAAAACAAAGGTCTAAAACCAGCGAGGAAATCAATGACATCAAAAGTAAAAAAACAATTTTGTAGATTTTCTGTATTCTAAAAGACCTACTCTTGTCTGTTTTCAGCGAGTTCTCATGAAATATGTAATTTGTACACCATTGTCTGAATGCTGTTGTGGAGATAGCTTCTAACAAATATCCATTGAACCATCCAAATATTCGCATTTATAATATTAGTAAAATAATCAAAGCGAACATAACGATTCCAGAACTTAAATTACATATGTCGCAATTTTTCTGGATTCATTTTAGTTCGTCTATACACAATAGTCATTTGATATTTTCATTTATTTTATTTTTCTGTTTGGTTGACATGTAATCATGTAATATCTAACTTTGGATTGAAGAACCAGTAACCAGGCCATAAAATCTTCTAAAAAGAAAAATGGCACCAAACTGACACTGATATCAAAGTGACATTTCGATTTAAGGTTATGTTATGCTTTTTAAAATATAATTTTTAATAATTAAAGATTGTAACAATAGGTTACAAAAAAATGTTTTCCCGAAACTTAAGAAATATATGCCGAAGATATTCACAAAATGTAACATTTAGAACTGTTGAAGCGTCCCCGGTAATTCAATAAAATTTTGGTTCCATTTACTGGCATAACAAATCTAAAATATTTATTTAAAATCTGATATATTAACATTGTTTTTATAGGCGCAGCAAAATGATAATCAAATAGGATTATTTTATACTTTGGATAAAAATTTGTCTAAAAAGTTGTTTGGTCAAGGTGGTTTGCCGAAGAGTTATATGAAACAGACAAAAACGTTCACAGAAACAAGTCTAATGGTGCGGCAGCCGGCTCTTGATGTTATTGATTGTATAAAATCAAGCGATTTAAACCAACCTGCAATCAGATATGTACTATGTATCCTTTTAGTAAAATGTTACCCAGGGATTTTTATATCATTATCATCATCTACCCTAACAGCCATCATATCTGAGTTCACTTCCTTCCTATTCACATTCTCCTTTACATAATCTGTACATGCTTTCTTTGGTCTTTTTATATCTGTGTATCCATCAACATTCAACCTTATTATTTACATGCCCATCGTTAAAACATCAAATTGAATTATATATATAAATATATATTGTTGATAATATTTATTACACTTCCTTAATTCAATGAACAGATGGTGAGATGGGAACAGGCAAGACATTGACCCTGGCACATCTCATTCACTATGCACATGATGATGGCTTTTTAATTGTACATGTACCTGGGGGTGAGTATTTTTAAATATTCTGAGAAGAAAATTTATATTTTAGTGTCCCAAAAATAATTAAATTTAATATTGGTGTAGCTATATAATGTAGCTGCATGTAAAAAGCCAAAAGCAGACAGGTGTGGAGAAATTTACTCGACCAGGTCCAAGCCCAACTGCAGCTGTAAAAAAGTGGCTTCTTTTTCCTACTTTATCTTATTTTGGCATGGTAAATTAATATTTTATATACAAATATAAGATATAATTATGGGCTAAGTTTAATAACTGATGGATGAAATTTTAGTAAAAGTTCTATGATTTTTTTTTATTATATAATAACATGATATGACCTTTCGTTTTACAGTATCACAATGGCTATGGAAGGTGCCTCGCCTGAAGGAGATGTCCAACTCACAAACACGTGAAGGTTTTGTTGATCTTCCACTAGATGCTGCAGCCTGGCTACTGCACTTTAAGACCCAAAACCAAGTGCTATTAAAAAATGAAGATGTATGTAATACTGCAAATATGTCTATTCTTTTAAGAGTAACAATGACATAGCTATTGTGTTATTAGCTATAAGATTCTATTGTCTGTTTTATTCTTGGAAAAGAAGCAACAACATGAAGATGTCCTGTAGGACTACCAATGACACAGAATTGTTATGGCGAAAATTTGTTACAGTTAAAAATATCCAAGGAGTATGTTTGGAGCAAACGTGAGACAACACCTGCCGGTGCTCCTCTTGCCGATCTGGTTGAACAGGGCATTGCACGTGTTAAGTTCGCCTGTGACGTCATCGATGCTCTTGTCTATGAAATAAAGCAGCTGTCAAATAATAACAAGTAAGATTGGCAAAAATTCACATCTTTTTTAATGAATTTGAAAAGCATGATGCATAGATGTATGAATGTTGAAAACATGATTCTAAAGACTGTTGGAATATATAAAGAAATGAAGTTTGAATATTTAAAACTGTTGTTTAATTCTAGGTGTAAAACTTTTGTAGCAATAGATGGATACAATTGTTTCTTCTACCCAAGGACAAGACTCAGTACTCCTACTAAGAAGGTTGTTACACCAGCTGAAGTTTCTCTCACAACTTCTTTTATGAATATTACAAAAAATGATTGGGTAAGATTTTAATGGACAGTATTTTATTATCTAAGTTACTGCCCATTTGTACATAGTACCTCTTACATATTTTCTTGTGTAATATCAAACAATCGCAATATAATTGGAAGAAAGTGTTATACATGGGCAAGATAATTAAATTGATTTTTGATTTACAGAAAAATGGTGTCATTGTTGTGACAGTGGAGGATATTTCCGTACCACGTGACCACCAAGAGAGCTATTTGCCCAGATATTTACTATTCAAGAAGGTAACATTACAAATACCCTCGATTTTATAAGTTTTATAATTTTCAGACTATAGTATCACTATTAGCAAAGTGCCAAGATTCCATATTTTATTATATAGTTTTTTTTTTATTTAAAAAATGACAAAGAACAATTCCCTTATGCTGCTCTATGGATGTAAAGATTTGTCTAAAGAATCAATATTTTTATAACTTTTTCAACAGGGATTTGAACACATGGACCCATTTGTTCCAGTAAAAGTTGCCAGGTATTCAGAAAAGGAGTTCCTTACATGTGCTAGTTACTACAGGGACAGACTGTGGCTGCGAGGGCCTGAACAAATTGAGAGTGAACTGAAGTTGGCCAGTGCTCGTAATCCTTTTAAATTCATGGAGCTTTGTGCACCACTGTAGATAATGTTGCCATTATATAGTATTTATAGTTGATGAATTGTTTTATTTATCCTACTGACTTTTTTAATGTATTAATTTTAAAAAAAAGCAATATTTGGATATTTAAATGTTTATTTCAATTTCTAGGACCTCATCTTTGAATGATCAAACAAGGTTTAATTACATAGAAATAAGGAATAGATACACATTGAACCAATTAAATATTTATTTTAGAACATGAGTTATCTACATAGTTACACTAATTAGAATCTTAAACGTTGTAGCCGACAATGTGACGCTTTCCAATGCATTCTCCAACAAAGAACCAGAAAAGAACTTCGGCGCCAACGAGTGTATTAAGAGTGGCTTGCTTCACGGTTTGCTGTTTCCATGCGCCGTTCTTCGCGCTCGATAGGAGCTTACCAATACCAGCTCTGATTTGAGGAATTTCGCTTAATTTGGGCGGTGCTAGTTCAACACGAGCATACTTCATGAAAATATTGAACTTAGGCCTGGCTTGTGTAAGGGCCGCTGCAAGTCAAAACGGATTTTATGGTAAAAATGCACCAAAAATAATCAATGCTTTTTAATGATAACCTTCATGTTTTTAAGGTAAATTACATAACACAATCAATAGTAATATTCACACGTAAAATACTTTGACTTACATGAAATCAATGATGGCACTTTAGCGATTGCGTTTGCCATGGTGTTAATTTATGTAATCGAAACAAATGAATTAATCAGAGGACTCCGAAGTTTTAATATCGGAGTTGATCGGAATGACAAAATCCGATTCGGAGTCGAAGTAGAAACAGATGTCAAATTATTGTAAAGTGGTGTTTTCACATCGAAAATTAACCTAAACATTTTTTTACCTAAAATCCTATGTAAATTTCCCTTAAGACTTAAATGTTTTGAAGACGGAATTAAAAAGACTGGTTTTAATTCTTTAATTAAATGTTTTACATTTTCTTTTAAGCATAATTCATTATAACTACAATTTACTGTTTGTGATGCTAGCAATACGTAATGCTACGTCTTGCCTATCTGTCAAAAAATCAACGCCGGTGGACAAATACTATGAAAATTTTTAACATAGCTTTATGTCTTAAATTAATCTAGATTTATTTTAGAAACTACATAAACACGATCTAAGATACATTCGTGTTTATCACAAATAAAAATGTATACCCGTGGTATGTATTTTATCGTTCAAGTAAATAAATAAGGAGTATTGGCGTGGCCGTACCTTTTTATCTTTTACATTAAAGTTACTGTAAAGAAGGCCTTAAAATCGTATAAACTAAATTAAAATTGTTCTGCTCCGTTTACAAATAAAATTAACTATTGACATTATTGTTTTTACATTAATTATTTGTTTGGGCCACGTCATTGCTTACTACCGGCGAGACTAATTGCCGATTAGGTTACATAAAAATATACAAAACAAAACTACTTCATACTCCATTTCATAAACTCATTTCTTTGTTTCAGTGATATGTGTACTTTTTGTAAGTTTCTTGGCACTCAGTCAAGCTAACGTCCTCCAGAATACAGTTAATGTGAAAAAACTGCAAGGAATCTTAGAAGAAGGTTTGAAAAGTAAAGATATAGGCGCTCTTTACTTTGCTATCAAAGGCTTGAAGCAAATTAATGCTAAAACACCTGAAGTCTGTGATGTAAGCATCTCAAAGTGACGGTTTCTCTCTATTTGTTTTTAATTCTTTCATATCCAATATCCAGCCATGTAAATTAAACATAAAATATATATTACATTGATTTCACTTTTTACTTCATAATTATAGTCATGTTACAGTTATTGTAGAACTATTTAGTCTTCTATAATTTGAACACTTAAAATTCATTATAACCTAAGTGTAAATATTATACTTTGATCTCATAAAAAATCTCTTTTTCCAGGTGTTGAAAAGTTTGAAATATGACATTTCAAACTTAGAACAAGTATTTTATATAACTAATGCAGCTGCACTGGCAAACTGCTTAACCATTTTGAACCCTGAGCTCCTTGGTACTCCAACAAGGACTCTAGACAAGAAAGATGCAACTCTGCAAGAAATATACTATGCGGTATATTCATTGAAGGCTATGGGCAAAGGCACCATCATGGACAAAGAGGACTCCCTGAAGAACCTTATACAATTGTTGAAAAAAGATGATTCACCTGCTAAGTATGTTTTATCATAAAGGTTACTTTATTATTTATTAAAATAGAAAGAAAATCTGTAATATTTGTATAGTAAACTAGCTGTCTCCTGCAACACCATCCGCGCGCAATAAATAAATCTACATGAGTAGCCTATGTGTTTTTTCCAGACTATGTTTTACATATATGCTAAATTTCATCAAGATCTGTTAAGCTATTCCCAAGATACTTTCAAACATCCATCCATTGATCTATACATTCGAGTTTATAATATTAGTATGACAATTTCAAATAACATTGACAATTATACATAAGTCAACAAAAAAAATTAAGTTATTTAATTTCTTAAAATATTATAATAATGGTTCTCATAGAATAAAAAAAAAATCAAATTACAGCTATGGTTATGTGTTTGCGCTTTGTGAGCACATGGGTTGTGGTACATGGACATCATCACATGCTGAAGGTGTGCTACTAGCGGCTGACGAGACGGACGCGCGCGCGCTGCATTTCGACGGCGGACTGCCTGCCACTGCACTCATACTGGGCAGCATAGCAAGGTAACATTCCAAATTTATCACCGAGTCCATAAAGACTTGTCACCTGTAATGTAACATTAATTTTGACTTAAAACATGGTTAACAAACCATTTTTTAAATTGATTACTAAAATCAATCATAAATGTTACTAAACAATTTTTATTTCTATTAAAGTACACATTACTTTTGTTTACAGGACATATAAAAGTCTAAAGAAAGCATCACCTTTGAGTGAGGAGCAGCGCTACAAGTTCAGCAACTATGTTTCGGGGAGGTCTGTGAGCACGCCACGCGGCGCTGCGTTGTTACTAGAGGCCGCCACTGCGCTTGCCGACGACGAGGTTAGAGCTATATTACTATATATTTAATTTAATTTTGCCATTGTGTATCTTTGAAGTTTTTACTATTTAATTAACATGAATTTGTGGGGAATAAAGTGCCCTTTCTCTTTTTTTTTTATAGATTTTGTGTATTAAGTTATCCTTAATATATTTTAGGTTTAAATTTAACAGTGGGTACTTGAAATTAATTATGTTTTAAATATGAAATCAAATAATCTAATATTATTTTTTCAGCCATCTCCTATTTGCATTGTGATTAAAGGCAAGAAATACGTAACCTCCGAGTCAGACTCTGTAGAGTTTTCGATCACTGACCTCATTGGTCGTCCAGTGCGCGGTCTCAAGCCCGAGGAAGTTGTCGCCCAGTCCGCCACCCGCCTTGCAGACGATGTTGTCGTGTTGTCTAAACAACCGTTAACTCAGAAACCCAATGAGCCAACAACCTTTGTACTTAACCTTGGCAAGATTAAAGCTCAGTATGGCCTCTACAAGATATCTCTCAGCGCTGGCTCTAAGACGGCCAATCTGAATGTGGCTGTGCTTGGTGAGATTCAAGTCAGTAGCATGGAGGTGGGGATTGGCGATGTTGATGGCACCACCAGTCCAAAGGTCACCACAATTGCTTACCCCAACAAGCTGACCGAAGTACTCCAAGCTGATCACTTGCAGAAGTGAGTAAAATTTGATAACCTTAAAAATGCACAATGCAATGACAATGAGCAATCAAATTTTAAAATTCACGTTTTCTTTATTTTATTATTAGAAATAATAAAATGTATTTAAAGAACATTATTTTATTCAAGTTATGTTTGGTTTGCAGGGTGAGCTTGAAGTTCAGTGTGCGCGACAAGTACAACAACCCGGTGTCGGTGCAGCAGGCGTTTGTCCGCGTCGCCCCCGCACACCCCGCAGCTGCCGCCGACCTGGAGGCCATCTATGTCGCCGAGCCCAGCGCCAAGACATACAGGGTCGAGTTGGTCAGTGTACAGATGCTTATGTATTATGATAATACTTATACTTGACTTAAGCATTTATTTTATTGCTGTTGCTCAATTATGCCTTAATAGAAAAAATAAAACAGATATTACTTATGAGCAAAACTATAGATATATTGATTCATAATTCTTCACTATTTTTTGTCCCTGGTACAGAACGTAGGCGCGATCGCGAAGCATTTGAACCACCAGTCTGGCGCACACTCGCTGACACTGTACCTGGGAGACAGCGCCGTCTCCAACCCCATCGCTTGGCCGCTAGGCGACATACACTTTAACTTCGGCAAGGACAGCAATGCTCTAGGTCAGTTGTAATACTTTGAACTTTAAATATTGTATTGCAAATTAATAACAGCGTAATTAACACAACTTTGCCTGCGTCGCAAGGCTTGAAAAGTTCAAACGAAAAATTTGTCATGTATGAAAACTTCTTGACAACACAATTTTTTTTATATTAGGTCCAGTAGGGAGCGAGAGCCGTCAGTCCCGCGCTCGCGGTCCGCTGCCGGAGATCGTGCACCAGTTCCGGGCGGCGGAGGCGCGGCCGGCGCGTGCTGTGTCTGATGTGTTCGCGGCGTGCTGCGCGGCACCACTGCTGCTGTTGCTGGTTATGTGGGCCCGTCTCGCGCCTCGTCTGCATCTGCCGCCCATGCCCGTCGCGCTTGTCTTCCATCTTGCATTAGGAGGTACGTGGACAAACCACAGCTATTAACAAAAAAAAAACGCAGTAATAAACTGAACCAACCGATGCTATGTATAATGATTCTCGTTAGTTAATTTTTAGTTGAGTGTGTTTAACTAAAAATATAAAGATGTTCCAATGATTATATAGACTGGTTGGTTATTATGGCTATGATATTATTTTATATTGCTTCAAAGTACAAATGTGTTGGTGTGTGCAGCTTCACTGGGGCTGTATGTGCTGCTGTGGCTGCAGCTGTCGATGTTCGCGACGCTGCGCTACCTGGCGCCTCTCGCGCTGCTCACCTTCATCTCCGGGCACCGGCTGCTGCGCCGCCTCGCGCAGGACAAGCAGACGCGCTAATACCTGCCCATAAACTCATATGGTGATGAGTTTTGCACTATAAATTCATAATTTATTATTTTATTTCAACATTTTTCAAATAAATACGTACGTCTACAATATTAAAAGTCTTATTTTAATGATTATTTGTAAAATGCTGAAATCATTAAATAAATGGTTGAAAGAAATGTCACCATACTATTCTCTTGTTTTTATTCTTTATAAATTGCATTTTATTGTAAAAGTGTCGGATATGTAGTTGTAAGTAGAGAACTTTCCTAAAATTAAAATGTCTACTTATTTGTGAAAACTAGAGATGGAACATCGTTATTTTGGTAGTTAGGACTGTGCAGATGTTTTTGTTATGGAATGTCGCAAATAATTTGAAACGTGTTTGTAACTGAAATGTAATTTTAAGGTTATGATGATTTTATTTGTATATCTGAATAAAAATACTAAATTAAAACAGCAAAATGACATACACTTCACAAATGTAAGCACTATTATTTGCAAAACCTTTTAAAGGTTCAAACCAGTTGCACTTGATTTATATCGAGGTTGGTCCTATAATTGTAATTTAATGATGAATAAATGAGTGATTTTGTTATATCTATTGATTTTTATTTCTCATTTATAACAAAAAAAAAACAATTTTCCATATAAGTACTGATGAGAAGAAAAAGTGTTGACTCGTTTTCTGAACAGTGAAAAATCTGTCAATAAAATTACTTTTTCATAGAAATCATATTTATTAAAAAATTATATCACAAATTTCAATGATACACCATCATTAAATTCTCAATGATTTCATCATTACACTTTAAACACAATACAATACTCATTAACTATCTTATCATAGGATCAGTTCAAATCACTGTTTGACACTCATCAAACAATCTCTTAAGTAATATAATTAAACTATTCATAATTTAAATTAAAAATACATAGAAAATTATGAGCACATCCAGTGCTACTGTCAAAAAGTGTAATACCTAAAATATTTCTTATATATTATGTTTATAAATATTCTAAGCTTCATGCAACACTGGGCTCAAAAATAAATGGCCAACAAGCCTTGTTCTAATTTTAGTACTAAACTACTTTTCTTAGAGCTTTCATCTTTCCTGTAAGCTACAACTTTTGGATGATTGCACAGACAGACAGATAATTCTATAACAGACCTACCAAATAGGAAAATGTTATTTTTCTAGTTCAAAGAGGAAAGATGCTGTAAAATGCAACATTTTGTACATGTTTAAAAAGTTTCAGATGTATTACTTTTGGATAATTAACCGCCTATATTAATTGTGAATGTTATCCATAATACTGTCAAAACTAAAAACTTATTTACAATAACTTAAAACTCCGCATCTAATGTGAATACATTATCCATCCTGTTGGACATCACCCCCCACTTTTGGTACTCTCCCACTTTCTTCTCAAAGAAGTTTGTCTTGCCCTCTAATGATATCAGATTCATGAAGTCAAATGGATTCTTTGTGTTGTAGCACTGAAAAAAAAAATAATTAGTAAATATTTTATAAGCAGATTGAACTTATACAAATATATAAAAAGATCAGATTAGTGTAACCTACAAATTTTACAATGTATACTAGTAGTCGCCCACAAGGAATTAATAATAAACTTAATTAGTAGGCTATGTGTTCTTCCAGACTATGTTTATGCTAAATTCCATCGAGATCTGTTCAGCCAATCTGAAGATACCTTCAAACATCCATCCATCCATCTAAACCTAAAGTAGGATTCATCACCTGTCCGTGATGCAGACAAGTGTGATACTTGTTTTGCAAAATGTTTACCTTCTCTCCGATCAGATCTACAAGTAGTCTGTCAGCAACAAACTCAATGTATTGCGACATAAGTTCACAGTTCATGCCGAGCAACCGCACGGGCAATGCATCTGTGAGGAACTCCTGCTCAATCACAACAGCATCCTTGATGATTTGCAGCACTCGCTCTTTGCTTGGCTTCTGCACTAGGTACTTAAACATTAGGCATGCAAAGTCCGTGTGCAAACCCTGGAATTAAAATTAAATGTGTTGTTTTTAATTTACATTGAAATTTTTAAACTTTTCTAGTGTCAAACAATTTAAATATGCAAGTGCAATAGTGCATAAATGAAGCAACATCTATCTATAATCTTCCAGAGATAGAATAAATCATTTAGAATATGAAATAAGGTAATATTTAACATAGCATTTGTATATAATATCATTATAGCGTTTCATTTGCATAAAGTTTATCAACAATATGAAATGATGCAAGAGATGACTAAGGATGACAAATGTAGGCAAAATTAATTGACTTGAGTACATGATAAGATTGAATCTACGTGAGATAACAACTATAGTTTAACTTAGGACATGTTATACTTACTTAGAACTGATAACTTATCATATGTCCTACTTTTTAATTTATTATCAGTACAGATTGTATGATTTTATAGACTAAAGTCATTGAACATCATTTTTGCATTTTATAATTGTGGTGTAGGTATTTTAAAAACTATACAAATTCTAGCTACAGCACATAACAGAAACATGCTTAGTCATCATATATTGGTTGTAATTTCCTCACTTATCTAACTATATAGCATTTTATATATAGTCATGGAATACTAATGATAATGACATTTGACCTAACCTAACTTTGATGTTGATAAGGGCTATGTTTCTTAACTACTGTAGAAAGTAATTAGATTAAATTAAAATTATCACCTACCTCATCCCTAGAAATCAGCTCATTGCTGAAGGTCAGACCAGGCATTAAGCCACGCTTCTTCAACCAGAATATTGACGCAAAGCTTCCAGAAAAGAAGATGCCCTCCACAGCAGCAAAGGCAACTATCCTTTCACCAAAGTTTGCTGTCTTGCTGGCGATCCATTGCAGTGCCCAGTCTGCCTTCTTCTTTACACAGGGTAAAGTTTCAACAGCATTGAACAAGAAATCTCTGTAAACAAATAACTCATGTTGTATTACATGTGTTTATGTGCCATAGAGACTACCTTATTCAACTAGCTACTTTAATTGCTCAAATGTGCACAAGATACACATATAAGGACTTTTTATTGATATAAGAAAAACCATTTGGTCACAATAAACATACCTTTCTTTAGGATCCCTAATGTAAGTATCAATCAGCAAGGAGTACATCTCAGAGTGTACATTCTCCATAGCAATTTGGAATCCATAAAAGAACCTTGCTTCACCAATTTGAACTTCTTGTGAAAATCGCTCTACTAGATTCTCATTAACTATACCATCAGAAGCAGCAAAAAATGCCAAAACATGTTTAATAAAGTGCCTCTCACAATCCTTTAAACTTTCCCAATCTGATAAATCCTGGAGACAAGAATAAATGAAATCACGATAAGTAAAATAACAATTAGCGTAATGCAAAACAAGTAGAGCAAAGCAACTCGATACATGTATCAATTGAATCTTACCTTGGATAAATCAACTTCCTCTACAGTCCAGAATGAAGCTTCAGCCTTTTTGTACATTTGCCAGATATCAGGATATTGGATGGGGAAGATGACGAATCGGCGCGGATTTTCTCGCAAGAGTGGTTCCAATTCGGGATTAAATTCCGCTACTTTATCCGTATCTTCTTTTTCCACATCCATTTTGTACTCAACAACATTTCCATTCTGCGGAGCCAAAACATTTTTCACGGGAGACTGTAAATATAAATAATAAATGACTTATAACTTCCTTGGAAAAAACCGGAACAAATCAGTTTTTTGTATTAATAGTTTGCCATATCCTACCTTTATATGAACGTTCGTCATTGCGTCGTAAATATTTTCTTTATCAAACGCGTTAGACATTTTTAGAAAGTTAAATTTCACTACGTTTAATTAAAAACTTCAGAGGCGGCTAACCTCCGTAACTTCAACTGAAAGATGTCTATAAAATGGAGCCTCTACAAGTCTAAACTTGTTGACACATATAAAAAGGCGGGAAATCAAAGCGTGTTCTGAAACTACAATTGGAAAGACTGTTTGAGAAAAATAAAATAAAAGTTTTTTTTAAAGTTATATTGAAATCCATTTTCATGTTTTTTTTTACATATTCACTATTTCCAAATTGAATACATTATGTTTCAACTCTAATTAACATTTATTTTAACAAAATTGAGGAAAATTTTTAACAGTTTTCTAAATAACATACAACATTTTGAACAAATCTGGACGCTTGAAGTTTTTCAATTAATGGCGCGAAATGGGTATCCCCTCCCTTATAAAATTAAATTCTAGTTTTCATATAAATACAACTTAAATTTGAGAAAAAAATGCTTAATCTAATTAAAGTAATGATAGAATTTAATGCTTTACTTAATAAATATGAATAACTCAGTTTCACTGTATAACATTTGCAAAAACTTTTGTGTTCCCGCGAAATATTTTTATCATGCTATAAAGTCATTCGTCAGTGACTCTCCAATCGCAAGTCAGTTTTTTTTTATCAAATTTTATACCGTGGAATTGCCCCTGCTGCCGAAACCCAACAAAACATAAATTGTATTAACTCTCATTCGTTTTTAAACAAAATAGATAACAACGTGTGATTGGCATTTGGTGAAAACACTTGACGACAAACACAAGACAAAAAAAAATCGTAAAGTGTACATTTCTTGGGTCTTACCATTACATTACATTTAAACATTAATTTTATATAAAAATAACTTAACATTTAGATCAAATGTGTGTTCCATTTACAGTAATCGTCCTTAGATAAAAATAACAACTTTTAAAAAATTTGGTGTAGAAAAAAAATTTTAGGTATGGCATCTTTGATTTTTGTCAGTTATTTATCTGGTCACATTGAAAATGTCAATTGATTGTCACTGTCCGTTTCATCACTGTCAATGAAAAATACAAAAGTTCAGTCATCAATAATATTTTGAAATATATCAGTGTAATACATTCATTTCAAGCCCCAAAAATATCTCAAAAATGTCGGATAATGACGACGATTATATGTGCGAGGAAGAAGAAGACTACGGTTTGGTAGGCCAATTATTATTATTTCTGTACATTTTTCACTATCAGTTCGGTTAACTATTCATAATACGTTTTACATTAAAACTTTCTCAATATTCTTCTCATCGCCTATACAGAATTAGGGAAAACTAAATGTCATAGTGGATATGGCACAAAACTTCTCTTTGTAATTTTATAACCTAAATTATTTTACATAGGACTTTTGTTTATTTTTTGCAATTTATCTATTTGTATTTTCTTATAAGCTTTGTCAGTTAAACATATTTATATAATGTAACTTATGTCCATATTTTTCTCGATTATTAGAAATCTTTAAAAGAATTTACTTTTAAATTAAGTTTGTATGCCTAAAAGATTTGACATATATTTGTATGTAACAGGAGTATTCAGAAGACAGTAATTCCGAACCTGATGTTGATCTCGAGAACCAATACTACAACAGTAAAGCGCTCAAAGAGGATGAACCAAAAGCAGCCCTCGTCAGCTTCCAGAAGGTTCTGGAACTGGAAGGTGGAGATAAAGGAGAATGGGGCTTTAAAGCTCTTAAGCAAATGATTAAAATTAATTTTAAGTTGGTACGTTTTTTAATTTAAACTTTGAGATTTATTTAACTTTAACTTTTCATTACCAAATAATAGCTTTTTGAAAGGATATATGTGTCTCTACAACAAAATTAAAGTAAATTATCCTTGATTAAAAAATGCATTAACAGAGGACTTCATTTTAGTCAGAAAGGTTTGTTCTTTTAATTTACAATTTTTTTTCAGGGTAATTTCACGGAAATGATGACTCGTTACAAGCAACTCCTCACATATATCAAAAGTGCAGTGACACGGAATCATTCAGAAAAATCAATAAATTCTATACTAGACTATATATCTACATCTAGAAATGTAAGTTCATTGAAGAATACATCCATTGCAGCAGTCACAGTTGACAATTGACATTGACAGTTGACCAAAAAATTTTAAAGGCTAAAAATTCAAATTATAATAAATGTATTTAACTATAGTTCAATTCAAAAAATCAATACAATAATAAATATTTTAAAGATGTGCACAAAAAACGTTTGTTTTATAAAATATATTTACTCAGTTTCTCTAAGTATACTACTTACTTATTTACTCCGCTGGCGCATCAACCCAAAGTAATTAAGATCTCTAAGTATATTGTCTGTCATTTTTAATATGTTATAAAATTAACAGATGGAGTTACTACAAGACTTCTACGAGACAACATTAGAGGCGCTAAAGGATGCAAAGAATGACAGGCTATGGTTCAAGACAAATACAAAGCTGGGCAAGTTGTACTACGACCGGGGAGATTTCAATAAACTGGCTAAAATATTGAAACAGTTGCATCAGAGTTGTCAGGTTGGTGATACTGATATCAAGCAAATAACTAAACAAATTAAAATCCCCACATGTTTGTATCTCTAAAAAATGAATTTACTAATATTATAAATGGTATAGGTATGGATGATTGTTATCATGTAACACCAGAACAGCAGTCTAGTAAACAACATAGGGGGCAAACTCTATTTTTTGTTTTTAATTTACTATACGTACCAATATTTTATATATTATATCTAAAACTAATAATTCTTATTGAAAAATGGTAAATAAATGGTGATTATATATTTGTCGTATAAATTATGCGTATTGAAGAGATAAATAATTGTAAATATAACTCCAGACTGATGAGGGTGAAGATGACCTAAAGAAGGGTACTCAGCTGCTGGAGATCTACGCGCTGGAGATCCAGATGTACACAGCACAAAAGAACAACAAGAAACTGAAGGCTCTCTATGAACAGTCCCTGCACATCAAGTCTGCTATCCCGCATCCCCTCATCATGGGCGTCATTAGAGGTACCCAAAATCTACTTTGTTATTTGCTAATTTTACTTACAGCATTACTAGCTGTCGGTTGAGACTCCATTCGCGTGGTTTAAAAAAAACTTTATAAGTAGCTTATGTGTTCTTCCGGACTGTTCTATATCTAAGCCATATTTCAGCAAGATCCATAAAGCCATTCTGGAGATAACTTCAAACAAACATCCAAACATTCATAATATTATATATAGGAAGATTAGATTCGACTTTCGAGCAGAAATAGAAAGAATGGGATATTTTCTGATAAGTTACACCTTTAATTATCTCAAGTCAGAGCAAACAACATCCTTTTTAACGTGCCCTATGACTTTTTGTTCTAAACAACTCGCTTGGTAAGTGAGTGGCATAGAATGTGTTGACTAAAGTAAGGCTTGTTTTAGAGTGTGGAGGCAAAATGCACCTCCGCGAAGGCGAGTTTGAAAAAGCTCATACAGACTTCTTTGAGGCATTCAAGAACTACGATGAGTCCGGTAGCCCGAGACGTACTACTTGTCTCAAGTATCTCGTGTTGGCCAATATGTAAGTATAAACAATTGTGAGTTGTAGTTGAAAACATAGATGAATAAAACTCACTAATATATCAGTTTTCTGTTGGTTCTGTTGGTTTATCCGACATTCTTACGGTGAAGGAAATATCGTGATGCAACATGCACATATCTGAGAAGAAATTCAAAGATATGTGTGAAGCTAGTAAGAAAAGAATATAAGTGATTATAAGAATATAAGTGATCAAGCACACTAGCCTAGCTAGCGTGCTTGACTACAGCCTAATCACCCTTAACTTAGGGTAGGCTCCGAGCCTCTCGGTGGGAACGTATAGAGAGCTGATGATGACACATTTTTTTTATTTTAGGCTTATGAAATCCGGTATAAATCCTTTCGACTCACAAGAAGCCAAGCCATACAAGAACGACCCAGAGATTCTCGCGATGACAAACCTCGTGATGGCGTACCAGAACAATGACATCAACGACTTTGAATCCATACTCAAACACAACAGGAACAACATAATGGACGATCCATTCATTCGGGAACATATTGAAGATTTACTGAGGAACATTCGCACTCAAGTCCTCATCAAACTAATCGGTCCATACACCAGGATACATATACCTTTTATATCCAAGGAGCTCAATATTGATGAGAAAGAGGTCGAGAATTTATTGGTCACGTGTATTTTAGACAAGTGAGTATTTAGTATTTTAAAACTAACAACATTTTTATCTGTGCGATTTATCTGAAATCAAAATATTCCTATATCACCTGAAATTAACTTACCTATAGAACAATCTTACAAGATTTAGTCTGACTAATGTAGTTATTATTACGAATCGCTTAATACATAAGCTTACTTGAAATAATTAAATGTCAATATACATATATGTATTTGTTGTGTGTGCAGCACGATCAGCGGACGTATCGACCAGGTGAACGCGGTGCTGGAGCTGGCGAGCGGCGCGCGGGGAGCGGCGCGGTACTCCGCCCTCGACAAGTGGACCGCGCAGCTCTCCTCGCTGCACCACGCACTCGCCAACAAGATGGCATGATCACCCACCACTCACACTCACACGCCTACTCCCCCCCCATCCCCCCCCACACAGCATATGCTATCAATGACATCCGTGATTATTTAATCAGCAAATATGATGTTTCCAATCTCTATGCAACCGGCTACAAATATGAAAATTCTATATCCAGCTCCATAGTATCTCTACAGTTGTACTTCTGTTTTGTATATGTTCTTAATGTATGTTACATTCATCAGCTGATCGATAGATTGCTTTTCGTCAGCTGATTAGAAATATTGGTAATGCTCTCGGAACTTACACAAAGTTATTACTAGTATATTTCTTATCAAATATCTCTCAAATTGTATTCTGTGGAGATTTGCAAGAAGTGAAGAGCCGCCAAGATATCTGAATACTACTATACTAATCTAGAAATATTCTTAATCATTGCAAATGTGTTTTTTCCATAATATTACGTGAATAGTAAAAATGCTGAAGGATATTCTATAACTTAATGTAAATTGCTTTTTATTAAACTAGTTATATTGGTATCAAATTGTATTCAACAATATGTGTATGACAAAAAATATATATATTTTCTGTTTGTTAAAAAATACTTTAGAAAAAAAACACAGATATGTTTGTAGATTCATAAATGATTAAATACTGATCTTCAAATAGCATCCGTATGTAAATAAATCGAATGTTTGAAAAAAAAAACTTTGTAACTGTAAATTTCAATTGTCGTCTCACTTGTATAATTACATATTGCCGTCTCTGTCTTACTTAAAGAGAAAGACAGGGATGGAAATATATATTACAAGTAACAATGCAGTAGAAACAATGGTAAAGAAATAAATTACTCATGAAGATAAGAAAATCTAAATAAATTGTAATTAATGCTCTAATTGAGCTTACGTACACTTTTGATATGTTACTGCTTTTTTTATCTTTTGACTGCGAAGTACGATGTAGTCGGAATAACATATAAACTTGTGTTTTTATCAAAAAAAAAGTCCAGTGCCGAATAAAACGCATATGCCATCATATACTGTTTTTTCTTTATAAAACAACTTGCTGTCGCCCGCGACTCCATCCGCGTGGATATATAAAAACTTAGTGTAGCCTATGTGATTCAGACCATGTTCTATCCGTATGCCAAATTTAATCGAGATCCGTTCAGCTGCTCTAGAGATATCTTCAAACATCCATCCATCTAAACATTCGCATTTATAATATTAGTAAGTTAAATAAAAAGCAGCTCTTCAAGGCATAAATTCGAAAAAGAAAAAATAGTATCCTATGTCCGTCTCCTGGCTCTAAGCTACCTCCTCGCCAATTTCCAACCATATCAGTAAAGCCGTTCTTGAGTTATAAATAGTGTAACTAACACCACTTTATTTTATATATATAGATCTGTGACTTATAATGAATACTACTATTTTCTTGTAGCTTCCACTCTTTCGATAAATTGAATTAGACTTTATTATGAAGCGATCAGGATAAAAAATAAAGGTGTATTTACAATAATCTACAAAAAAAAGACATTATAAAAAGTATATATGAATTTTATTATATTTTTATAGTAGTATAGTACGTAGACGAATATATTGGACGGTTTAATTTATCACAGGTTAGATTATATTGACATTATTTTCTTAATAACTGCTTAATTTTATGTTAGACTTCTTACAATTTTTAAAAAGTAAAATACATTCTATGTATTTATATTTTAAACATATATGTCAATACATATGTAAATAAGCAATGTAAATATTCTAAAACCAGAGTAAAGCTTGCATAAAATATTATCTAAAATCTTATATAGTGTTTGCCGAAAAAACTGGATTACAGACAAGTACATTTCAAAGCAAAAGTCAAAACCAAAAATGTTTGATTTAACAATAAATGGCACTAATTATAAAACAATTACAGCAGTTAAAAATAAATCCAAAAAAGTACATGATTCACATAATTGTACATTTCACGTATGTATACGAACATTTTAAAGATAATAAATGATATAAAAACACTAGTAGCGCCTGGCCTTCGCATAGAAAAATATTCAAGTTAAAAACTTTCATAATAACGGTGGGAACACACTAGCCAAAGACTTCATCTTGAGACACTATAGGTCTTGGGACGAGAGGATTCCCCGCAGCTTCCCGAACGCTACCCATCCGAGTCTGATTCGGCGATTGACCTCCTTCTCGAAGTTGGACCTATATATCTGGACAGTCTGACCCAGGTAGTAAGTAGTTCCACTAATATAGTTTTTAATTGGACTGAAATAAATCAAATTGCAACTATATACATGACAAGTTTTTGACTATATAACCTCGCAGTAATGCAAAAAGCAGTTTTTATAGAACAGTAAAAAAAAACACGTCATTATTGCATTCAATATTAAAATAGTCAACTTAGTTTTCTATAATTAATCGCTTAAACCTAAGAATACATTAAACAAACGCTCACAATGTATATAAAGCAGGATAACATATAGATTTTTAATATTTATTACATAAAATATTACTTTTGAGATAGATTTCACGGCAGAATACCTGGCAACATAATTAATGTTTTCAATAGACTAATTTGATATGTTTTTCAATAGTAGCGTGATGTCAATAAATTTATTTCATAATATAAAGTTACAAATAATTAAATATTTATAAAAAAATATTAACAAAACACAATTCGCGTTCGAGGAGCTATCAATTTCATAAAAAAATGTAAAAATAAAGTAAAATTTAAAGCTCTACATTGAGCAAAATATATCTTGAAAAAAAAAATGGAATGTTTGAGTGTGTATGTAGTTATTGTATGTGTGTATGTATGTATGTACTTATTGTATGGGTTGATACAAAGATCAGCGCGGCTTGTCGTGCAGCCAGGCGCGGAAGACCGGCAGCGTGGTGGGGTAGTGTGTCGGCGGCTGCTCCCCGCGCTCGCCGGCCTCGTCACGTTCGCGGAACGGATACGTGCCGAGTACAATAGGTAGCTGCAGCTTCACCTCCTTTTCTAAGCTCTTCGGCTCTATTATGAACTGGAGATAGAAATAGTCAACTGTTGGTTTTTAATTGTAAGATGCATGTGGCTGTTGATTTTACTTATTTTTGGACAGAAAATAACAAATTAAAAATTAAATCATAAACATAACTTCAATTGCGTATTTCATACACATTGTACTTGAACAATGAGATATGTAAGCTTCTATTACATAATAAACAGTAGTCTGTGTGAAAATTTCACATTGTGTTTTCCAATTAACTCAATGGATGTAATTGTTTAAATAATTTGACAGTGTTTTTTACGTAATGGCAACACTAACATAAACGTCATAGTGTACGGCAATGAGGTGACAGCCGCGCAAGTTGGTGGGCGGCAGCGGAGGCACGTAGAGAAGTTCGCGGCGCCACACGTCGGAGCCTCCAGGCCGCGTCTTGCCGTGCGTCAGCGTCGCCAGCTCACGCACCTCCTTCGCAGCCACTTTGCCGTGCGCAGAGTACTGGATTGTCTAACAAACAGAAAAGCAATATTATGAAAGAATATCACGTTCGACGTTCATACAGTGAAGGAAAACATTGTGTTGCAACCTGGACATATCTGAGAAGAAATTCAAAGATATGTGTTAACCAATCACACTGGGCCAGCATGGTTGACTATGGCCTAATCATCCTAACCTAACCTAACTTAGGGTAGACTCCGAGCCTCTCGGTAGGGACGTATAGAGAACTGATGATGATGACATACTCCGTTAGTCTGTTACTTGTAAGACTGACCTCTGTTAACGCAGCACGCGTACATTTGATAGCGGTGCGCGAGTTGTTGACGAGTCGTGCAGAGAGCGCGATGCTCTCACCAGGCACGTACGCGCCGCGGTCGAGCGTCACACTGCATGCTACCGCGCCGCCGCCCACGCAGCCCACGCCCACGCGGTGCTCGATACTGCATTCTAGCTCTTGCTGCATACAAATACATGATATAATAAATATCTCTTCATATGTGGTAGTCTGATTGACAATTTGCATTTTTTAAATGCATAGAAGTATTAACAGGGCCATCTTAACATATTTGGCTCTGAAACATTAAATAATTAGTCTGTGTGGTATTGGAAAGATGGTGCTGAGTAGTAGGATAGTAGTAATAATAAATTATTCAACGATGCGAATGTATATTATAGTTTTGTCAGTATAGTAACAGATAAATAATTTAAAATTATACTTACAGATAACACGGGAGGCTCTAAATTTAGATCAATTGGATTCATAACAATAAAAACTTGCTGGTTCTTATGTGTTAACCCATTTGGTTCCCTCAATGCTGCTTTACAATAGTACTGAACCCAGCCATGCGTGCCAAGGAATGTTGATGGTAGTCCCATCGGTAAACCTAGCTTAAATGGAAAACTGTGGATGCCCGGAGATAATATAGAAGGTGTATGACCTGTGAATAAAATTGACAATGCTTTAAATTTCAAAGTAATATTTAAACAAGAAACATCAATGACCAATAAATCTAATAGAACTATGTAAGTAAATAATAATGACAATTTCATCCTGACTTATCAGTAAGAATAGAAGCCAATGTGAATAAGTTTATGATAAATAATTCTGTGTTTACCTGATTCCCCAAGAAGACGCATTCTGAAATCAATATAATTCTCTTTGTCAAACAAACGCTCATGTCTTCCAGAGCCAACACGCACTACTCCCTCACCAATAACATGGAAATGTAGACCTGAGAAGAATTACGAAAAGATGTGAAATAGTGTTTTTTTTTTAATTACTAATTGAGAAACAATAAAGTAACAACTTACCTAACACTGGTGTATCGCCTTGCAATTCCATTAATACTTTCCCAGACAAAAACTGACCCGGAAAGTATAACAGTGATGTGTTATCAAACACAATCAAAAATTTCAACAATTTTCTTGGCATTTTCGTCAACTTTTATGTGTTTGACAATTAATGTAACCGCGAAGACGATAAATATGGACAAGAATACTACGCTCTAGTGTACACAATAATTTACGTGATTGATATATGTAAATATATGAGGATAAAACGTGCGCAGAATAATTTCGTAATTTAGATTGTTACACGGAAGCAATTCCAGTAGAAAGTAATTGAAAAATACTTATTCAAAGTAGAAGAATGTAAAAACTAAACCCTAAGTTACCACTCTCTTGCCTTAAATGACCTAATCTAAGCACTTCTCACATAATCCGTAGGTTGAACAAAGTTAAGAAATATTTTAAGTGAAGGCCATCAAGTTCAAAACGTTTGTCTTCAACTCGTAGGAGTATTACAAATTGATTTACCACTTTTGAAAATATATTATTCAATTGATTAATCTATTTTGATTTATATAATAGTCTTTACCATTAAGAGTCAATTAAAACGTAACTTATAAACGTAAGAAAAAAATTGACTTCGCAACATTCCCCGACAAAACTTTTTTGCTTTTTTAATTTGACTTTTGTATCAAAGATCAAAGACAAATGTAGACTTTTGATATTTGACTTTGACATAGGCACAGGCGATAGGAATAAAAGTACAAGATTTTTCTTATAGTTACACATTTGAGAATTTATGCAGATTCAGTTCAGTGCATACTGAAATTGTAGAATCATTTGAAATAATCACCGCCAGTCGAAAAATAAAGAAGATTGTTATCGATTTCAAATGTTTTCGTTCGATTTTAAGAAAACTAAATATTTTGTTATTTATTATCTGTTGTATCCGATTTCATGAATGGTGGTTGGAATTCGTCCCTATTGGTGCAAATAAAACATCTTGTTATATTGGCCAATAACAATGAAGTTTTTGACAGTGATCAAAACATGTAGGAATAATAAAATTTAAACAAATAATAAATGAGAAAACAACGAACTGTGGCAGCCAAAATAAATTAACCTTTGATTGGATTATAAATCTTGCCAAAGAAAGAAGAGAATCATAAGAAAATAAAAATGCCGAGTGAAATGATAACTCTCCAACTTGGTCAATGCGGAAATCAAAGTAATTTATTACTTTTAATTAAAGTGCCGTTTTGTTTACGATTCAGTTAATTTCAAATTATACCTTTTTGTCACAGTCGGCTTCGAGTTTTGGAAACAATTGTGTATTGAACATGGAATATCTCCGGAGGGAATTTTGGAAGAGTTCGCCTCTGCGGGATCGGATCGGAAAGATGTGTTCTTCTATCAAGCCGACGATGATCATTACATCCCTCGCGCTGTTTTGCTAGACTTGGAACCTCGAGTTATACATACAATTATGAATTCACCGTATGCCAAGGTAGAGTAAGGGAGAATTTCTGTTTGTTTTCATGTTTACGCATTTTAAATATTTAACGTCTTATTCGTGGTCCGATGGATATATTTTTGCAGCTTTATAATCCTGAAAATGTGTATTTATCAAAACACGGAGGCGGTGCGGGCAACAACTGGGCTTCGGGATACGCACAAGGAGAAAAACTTAATGAGGAAGTGTTTGATATAATCAACAGAGAAGCCGATGGTAGTGATAATTTAGAGGTAAACTTGTAGAATTTAATATTGTTTTACTTATTTGTAGTTTCTTCACAATTTTTAATCAAATATTTATTATATTTTTAGGGATTTGTCCTCTGTCATTCAATTGCCGGTGGCACAGGTTCTGGTATGGGATCCTACATATTGGAACATTTATCAGACAGGTTTCCCAAAAAGCTAGTACAGACTTACAGTGTCTTCCCAAATCTTGATGAAATAAGGTAAACACTCATGCTTATAAAACTACAGAACTTTTAGAAATAATTGAAATTGCCTTGACACACGAAAAATTCTGTGCCTACATTTTTGGTGAAACTAAAGAGCAAGATACATTGAATTGATATCAAACATACATACATGAGTTGATAATGGCTATTTACAAAGATAATTATTCTAACAAGATTGTTACACATATTTGTGTCCCTTTCAGTGACGTAGTGGTACAACCTTATAACTCATTACTCACACTAAAGCGTTTAACGGAGAGTGCAGATTGTGTGATGGTACTGGACAACACAGCTCTCAACCGTATTGCCAGTGACCGCCTTCATATACAGAACCCTTCGTTTGCACAGATCAACACTTTAGTGTCTACTATTATGAGTGCCAGTACTGCAACACTAAGGTAAAACATAATGTTACTAATATTTTAAAAAGCTTAAATGGGTGGCAATAATCCACCATAATTACCACACAAATCCAAAATTACTAACTTGATCTGGATGAAATTTGGATTAAAGAAGTGCTTGAAGATGGAATAATTGCCAGTCCTTCCACTCTTGGGCCATCCTACCACATTATAAAACTTGCAGAGTGCCATCACCAGATAATCTTCATTTTCTTAAAGCTTAATTAGTTCATAGTAATGGCTCATGAAAGTTTTAGCTACAATAGTATGAATTGTATTTGCTGCAGATATCCATCATACATGAACAATGACCTGATCAGCCTGGTGGCGCCTCTGATCCCCACGCCGCGCCTACACTTCCTCATGACCGGGTATACGCCCCTCACAGCTGATCATGAGCTCAACACTGTTAGTAATGTGGAATTACATTTATTTTAAACATTCTAAAAATTCAAATCTCTCTAGTTTTATGTAGGAATAATGATTCCTTCTACTATTTGTGTCATCCCTTTATTCTATAGTCATTCTCTTCTCACTAATGTTTCATGCAATACATCCATCTTTTCTTAACCATCCACTTATCTATCCACTCCATTTTAAAAATTACCCAATATTATATTCATAATAAGGTTAAGATGTTAATGAACCAGATACACAAATTTCAAGTTATTTTGTAGGCACCAAAGATCCGAAAAACGACGGTACTAGATGTAATGCAAAGACTGCTGCAGCCAAAGAATATGATGGTCTCCCTCAGCCCTGATCGCACAAATCAGCATTGCTATATATCTATACTCAATATTATACAGGTAATTAGTTTTTATTACTTTTAAATTGAAGCAAGTTCTACAATAATAAATATTAAGAAGAGGTTGTAGGCCGTTTTTTAGAGTTGTACTTTTAATCCACTTTATAAATGATATTGATCTATTCTACAGGGTGAAGTGGATCCATCACAAGTGCACAAGTCACTGCAGCGTATCAGGGAACGAAAGTTAGCCTCGTTTATACCTTGGGGTCCCGCCTCTATACAAGTGGCGCTGTCCCGACGCTCGCCTTATGTGCACGCTTCACATAAAGTGTCTGGTTTGTTGTTGGCCAATCACACAAACATCTCTTCAGTAAGTACACATTTTATATGTTCATATTTATAAGTATGGAGGTGATGTGTGAAAGCAATAGCTCTGCATCAGTAATGCCAAAAATGCAATTTACATGCATATCGTAAAAATATATGTATTTGATCAAATCTTTCTTTTATTTTTGCAGCTATTCGACCGATGTTTGCAACAGTTTGACAAGCTGCGTAAACGTGAAGCGTTCCTTGAGGTGTTCCGCAAAGAGCCCATGTTCAAGGAGTCATTGGAAGAATTCGATGAATCGCGCGGCGTGGTCGACGACCTCGTACAGGAATACCAGGCTGCAGCCACGCCGGATTATGTACATTGGAATCCTGGTTTGTATATGTTTTATAGCTAAGAATGTAAATAAAATATTTAAGATGATGTTGGCCTTGAGTCTAGTTAGTACTAGCACTAATATTCACATTTGGTAATGTGTTAAAATCTATGTTTACAGAGAGCAGTCAAATATAACAAAGGCCAAAATATACAAGGAAACTCCATGTGGTTGTAAGGTGACCTTCGTTGTAAGCATTCCAAAGGAAAGCGGAACCAAGAGAAAGTTTAACTTGGAGAATCTGTCGTAATCTTTTTATAAGTGCCATGTAATATTGTAATCTCAGAAACGTTAATCTTACGCCTAAGAATCTTCCATGTCTCATATTGTTTACTAGCCTTTAATGTACTACTTTTGTTTTCGTTGGTAGATTGTAACAAAAACGAAAAATTTCTTATCAAGAATTTATTATAATTAAATACAACTAACTCTCAACATTCCCTTTGCATATCACTCCCGTGCGTAACACATTGCCGGTTTCTATGCCACGAGTAAAGCAGTAACAAAAATCATATCACAAAGTAAATTAATTGCAAAAACAGATTTACAATGTAATTGTTATATAAGTGTTATGTATTGTAACAATTCTTTATTTTAATTAGTCTGCGTTAAATTACAATAATAAACTGTTTAATTCTTACTTTGATTTTTAATTTTACTTAAAACCCACAAATGTTACAAGAGAGCACAACCTACACCATTTGCTTATATTAACATCACTTTAAGTTCAATGGCTTTATTTACACAGTCCAAGGTTAATAACAAAAGCGAAAATATATGATGTTCAAAAACAAGATTATTGATTTATTGACCACGGGTTCCCGACACCAAAATCTCTATAAAATATATCATTAACCCTGTCTTTCATCTTTGACAAAACAGATATAACAATATGATTTAATCCGAGATTTTGGACTCGGAAAGCCACAGTGAAACTTACAGTTGCAACTTATTGATTCAGAAGCACAACATGACAACAGAAAGCTATAAACTGATTCATGATGAAAGATGTGAAAATTACAAGATGAATGCTTATACATAATTTTAAACATCAAATATCATAAGGATGGCACTAAACATGCAGTGAGAGTTTCAAAAATAGACAACTACTAAAGTGTGATTATTTTTTGAAATTTACAACACTTACAATTGAGAAGCGTCGGAACAAAAACCAATAAATCACATTTTTTTTATGATGCCAATTAGTTCTTCTTCACCATATCTTTACACTTTCCCATAAAAAGTAACACTGATTTATAGGTTTTTCATCTGACTCTCCTGAATTTATTTCTTAAAATAACCTATAAAAATTTGTAACACAAACATTTATAATCAATCAAATCTCATGTTTCCAATCAACATTTCTATTTAGGTGTGTAGTGTAAATTACTGACCAATAAAATGTTCTTAATTTGTTTCTAAAGTTACTTCATTTGTATGAGTGCCAGCATTTCTTGAAACAAGATTGGATACTGCCAACCTAAATACCAACAAAAAAATACATACATTCTTGACACTACATTACTATCTAAATTGTATACATAAATATAACAGTTGTTCTTATAAAAGTTATAGTTTTAACATATATACTAATTATTTTCAAATCACAATGAAGACATCAAGCTGTGAAAAGAAATAAGATGTCTACCCACAGAGGGTTTTAACTTAAATTACAAATTAAAAGCAATTGCATAGTGAGATGAATTAGCAAAATGAAAAGTTATTGGAATTAAAATTAATGGCTAGCTGCCTCTGTCTGGCGAGGCTAGGAGGTCTGGCTCGGAGCCTGGTACTTGGGCTGTATAATGGAGGTCTTTCGCAGTGGGACCGTGTCAGGTGTTGGGATGGCATCTCCTGTTGGTAACTTGGCAGGCACAGCTGGAGCTTTGAATGGACCTGCTAGATTACTTGGCCTCTGTTTAGCCATTTGGTAATCACCGGAATCAAAGAATTTTTGCTGGAAAAGAAATTTATTTATAATATTAGGACAATTGAAAATATTCTTACTAAACAACTTTAAGAACACTGAACAAGAAATTCAATCATTGAATATTACTCACCCCTTTAGCTAATCTCTTTTGCAGAAAAGCAGAATGTCCTCCAGGCCCTTTACCTAATATGGCATTTGGAAACTTTGCTTTTAGCTTAGCTTCCTCCATTTTCTCTACTTCTTTCGGCTGAAATAAACAAATCATTTAAAAAATGTTTCTTGCAAAGAAAATCAGTCTAAGTATATTATATTTAACTTACATCCTTTGGTGGTTCATTTTGATCAACTGATTCACTCATCTTTAACGCCTGAAACAAAGAGAATTTTTTAAAGCAAAAATACAAAATACAACGTTTATGTAACATGTAGGTACAATACAAACACAAATTTAATTTATGTCATACATACAATAAAAGTGCTTGAGAATGAACATTACTTTAAACAGGAATAGGAATAATTATGCCTTTCAGTTTTTGAAAAAATACAGTTTTCGAATCTTGTATTAACTTTTTGAAAGAATTGTTGTTATGTCGTAAGGCTATGTTTTGTTTACCCTATTTTTTTTAAAATTACAATTTATCTTGGGCAATTGTATTTCACCGTTATTACCATTTAGTCATTGAAATATAATTATTTTCAGCATATGAGGCACAATAACATATTACACACATGGTAAAAATATACGAGTTTATAATGACAGTTACAATATGATTTGTAACTTATTTGTTTACCTCAAGTCTTGCAACAATAAGATCACTTTCTTCTTAAAATGCGGCTGATAAGATAAAGAACAGATGGAAAATACCGATCTAAGACTTGTAATCGTTGTAATTAGAAAATAGTGGTCAACAAATAAAAACGCTCTTGCTCGTGATTTTCTTCAAATCAAAAATGGCGTTTTTTAAAGTATTGCCATTTTTGACCAATCATTTCTCATACAATTTTTAAGGCGTTTTAGAGTTTTCAGGATCAGACCATCGCAAATCGAAAATGAAAGGTATATTTTTAGCACAATTAGATATTTATCTTAATAGTATTATCTAGATTTTGAATAAACTATTTTTTTTTGTTAACAGTCAGCATGGCAGTTGGCAACAGTTGACAAATGTCAATGTCAACAATTGTCAATAAATGTTTACAGCTTTACGCGCTTTTCGTTAAAGTTTGTTTATCGTATGTATTATCATAGTTTTGTGTTGGACTATTATAATTTTATACATTTCCTTCAATTTATGTTTACTCAAAATAATCAAGTTTACTCTACTTTAAACAACAGTTACTTGAAAACAGCACAAACCTTTGTAAAATATATAATTTTTTTTGGTTTAGGAAGTACCAGAAATGGTTAAAGGTTAATTTTTATCGTATAAGTTAAAAATATGGACGAAGAGGCAGCAGATGATATCGATGGTTCCATTCACAGTATCCATGTTCGTAACTTCTTTTGCCATGAAAACTTAGAAATAAATTTAAACAGAAACGTTAATTTTATTGTTGGTCGAAATGGCAGTGGCAAAAGTGCAATTCTGACGGCTTTGGTGGTCGGTTTGGGAGGTAGAGCTTCGGCTACAAATCGTGGAAACAACCTCCATTGTAAGTTTTGATATAAAACACAAAATACCATAGTCAATTTTAATAACCTATATAATTGACTATTTCTCCTTTCAGCATTTATCAAGAAAGGCTCCAATTCTGCCACGGTAGAAATTAAAATTAAGAACAGCAGTCCAAAAGCTTACAAGCACAACATTTATGGAGATTATATTACCATAGTTAGAAATATAAATGCATCAGGTGGCTCAAGCTATAAAGTAAAATCTGCCACAGGTATTAAGAGCACATAAATTATAAAATAAGTTTATAATTTGTTCAATCAGTTATCAATTAGAATGTATAGTAAATTGTAAAATTTTATTTGCATGAAAAACATGTCCATCTTTTAACAGGTGATGTGATTTCAACAAAATTTGAAGAAGTGAATGCTATAATCTTAGCCCATGACATACAAGTGGACAATCCCATTTCTGTGCTCAATCAGGATGATGCGCGCAGCTTCCATGCATCTGATGCTAAAAAGATATACTCTTTGTTCCGTAAAGCAACAAATCTTGACCAAACAGAAGGGAATTACTTGAGGTCACTTGAAAACTGCAAGAAGGCAGTCTCTATCTGGAACAGAAAAAATGAAGTAAGTAAAATTGTAAATTCTATTACAATTTCCAATTATTCCTTTAAGAATTTCTATTTGTTTTGATACTTTTTATACTACAATTTTAGGAGTACAGTTGAACCTGGATAAGTGTAAGCCCTAAGGACCATAATATTTTTCTTGCCCATAGAGGTTTCTCTCTAATCCAACCCTTGACTTTCACTTACCCAGGTTTGACTGTATAGTCATGGATTATTGACTTGACACATATGTATGATAAAATTATAGGCCTGTGCAGAACTGGAAAAAGAATACCAAAAATGGAAAACAAGTTATGAACAGATGCAGTCACGTGACGAAATCGAAGCACAAAAACAAGCTTTACAAAATGAATATTACTGGAGTGAAGTAGCGGAACTGGAAAGAGAAGTTGATAACATACAAAAGCAACATGACAAACAGAACGAAAAATGTGAAAGACTATTGGCATCCTTGCGGAGGATGGAGGAAGAGTTTGGAGGCGAAAGCAGTGTAATTACGTAAGTTAATATTAATTTATTGTTCTTATTGTTATAATTATTAAAAACCAAAATATTTTCCACCAGTACACTAAAAGCGCAACTGGAAGAGAAGACAAATAAGAGGTCAGAGCTGGAGCGAGAGGTAGAGCAGGCAGAGGGTGAGGTGCGCTCGCTGCAGGCCGCCTGGCGCGCGGACCAGCTCGCCAACGCAAAGCTGTACAAGCTGCTGGACAGGGAGCGCACCAAAGTCAACGACTTGGAGAGAGAAATGAGAGAGAATTTCCAGTAAGTTTTTTTGTTTTTAGCTGACTAAAATGTTTTACTAGAATACAGGAAAACACAAAAGTTCAATTAGATATTCTACTATTTATATTAATGTTAAGAATAATTAAAAATGTACAAAATATTTACTTATATATTATATGAAATGTGGAATACCAAGAAGAATTTAATCTGGAGTATGGAAGTATATGTATGTTAGGTGTGAGGACGCGGCGGGGCGGCGGCGGCAGCTGGAGCAGGCGCTGGAAGCGGCGGAGCGCGAGGCGGCGGCCATGCGCGCGCGCTTCGACACCGCCCAGCACGACGCAGCACAGGCACGCGCGCACGCCGCGCACGCGCAGCAGCCAGCTGACGCAGCCGCGACACGTGCACAGCAACAGCGCAACACTATCAGTTAGTATAGGATACATCTGTGTAATTAATGCAAATAGTCGAGATAATGAGGTCGTGCATCAGCTCGTTTTGGCTTTGGTGGTAGTTCTGAGTGGTGTACGTGTGCAGAACAGTTGAAGCAGCAGCTGCGCGAGCTGGAGTCGCGCGGCGGGGACTCTCTGGCGGTGTACGGCGGGCACATGGTGGAGCTGTGTCAGCGCGTGCGCCAGGCGGCTGAGGCGGGACACTTCAGCGCCCCGCCCCGAGGACCTGTCGGTACGTCTCACAAAACTCACTGTTCACAGCTGCACTACATTGTATATCATTTTCAGTTTACACTAATTTGTACAGGAAATTATCTGAAGTTAAAAGAAAAGAAATGGGGAGGAGCGATAGAACATATCATCGGTGGCTCGATAAAGAACTTTTGCGTCAACAACGTCGAAGATTCTAGAAAACTGTTCGATATTATGAAGCAGGTATGAATATATTAATGCTACCTACAGCATTCGGTCTTCAATATACTAGTTTCTAGTCATTTTATCTAGGACGAAAGTGCAATAATGATAATTGTAGGTGTACGGCAGCAGCGCGAAGCCGGGCGTGACGTGCAGCGAGTTCCTGAGCCGGCAGCACGACGTGCGGCGCAGCAAGGTGCGCGCGGCGGCCGGCATCTGCGCGCTCGACGCCCTGCACGTGCCCGACCCCGTTGTCGCCAACTTCCTCATCGACAACCTCGCCATCGAGACCATTCTGCTTGTTGCTGAACACGGTGAGATACCGTCCATTGCACAGTGCTGCATACTACACGCTAAATACGTCACGTAAGAAATTATTATGTACAAAATAGTACAAGAGACCGTTGTATACAGAGGACGCGGTGCGGCTGGCGGACACGGAGGAGAACGTGCCGGAGCGGTGCTCCAAGATCGTGACGCTGGACGGCACCGAGTACCACCCCGCCCCCAACTACCGCAGCTACGGCGGCGCCGCACGGCCCCCGCGCTTCCTCCATCTCAGCATCGCCGAGAGGAAGAAGTAACATTGCATTACTTTCTCGAGTAGTCCAAATAGCCACTAAGTGCTGCACTAAGAAGCACGCATAGAACTAAAGAATATGACAGTTAACACTTACCTGTGCAGGCAAATAATGGGTGAGATAGAAGAGGCGGAGACAGTGCTGAAGGAGATGGAGAAGAAGGCGGAGCAGCTGAACGTGGAGGCAGCGCGAGCGCGTAGTCTGGAGCGCGATGCATCTCGCGCGCTGCAGGCGCTGCTGGCGGGACAGCACGAGCGCGACGAGGCGGTGCGCAGTGCACGCGCCGCACTAGAACTGCAGGCAGCGCCGCTGCAGTCTGTGCTGGTCTGTTACACACCACACATACTCGATAAATGAGCGCTAAAACAACTTTAATGCAGGTTTATTTCATTCTAAAGGAGACCAATTAACAACTCTAGGTGCGGATCCACGCAAACATCTACTTAGCATCCGTTAACTATAATTCAGACTTAGTTTTTTCTTCATTAAAATCGGTTAAATGAATTAAAGATTATCTAAACAAACGTATTTTCTCCGACTGATTTTCGACGAATATTAAAAAAAGTTTGTTTTAAAAAATAAAATCACGTTGTAACTTCACTCATTCTTGTTTCGAACATCAATAATTGGAATAATTTTTACAGATGGAAGAATTGAAAGTGTCAAAAGAGAAATTAACAACACTGAAGGAGCAGGCGGAGGTGTGCGGGACGAAGGAGAAAGAGTTCAAACAGAAGATACAGGAGCGGCAGGAGATATTGAACACTGTTAAACCCAAGTTGGAGGAGGTCACCGCCGCATGCCGCAGTCTTGCTGTAAGTATTACAACCAGATTATTTTAATTAAAGACAAAGAAAAATCATTATAGCAGCGAAGCGTCAATAGTCTAATGGTTAAAATGTACGGATTTGCAATCATGAGGTCGGGGGTTCGTATCCCGCCATTCAACTATTGTCGTAAACGATATCCTAGCACAAGGAAAGAGCTTAGTTGGAATAGTACAAGTAATATTAGTAAATTAAAAATCTGCCAATTTTTAAAATAAAAAAAAATATTAACATGTATTTTATTTTGTTTAATCATAATAATATTTCTTAGATAAGTAATTAATATAACACTAGCCGGCAGTGTGCAACATCGCGGTTCCTAGTGATATAGAGTTGCTATAAGTTATAATTGTTGTGCAGGAGGAGATAGAGGAGGAGCAGCTGAAGGTGGAGCGCGGGGTGTCGGAGCGGCGCGGGCTGCAGCAGCGCGAGCGCGAGGAGCGCGACAAGCTGGCGCGCGTCGCCGACGTGCTGCTCCAGCGCCAAGCTGTGCTCGACAACAAGGTCCAGCTCGCAAACAACATATGTTCTAGGACTGAACAAACTAGGTATATCGCAAAAAGAAACTAATTAAATACATACATCCAAATATTTAAAAATGTATGTAACTCGCGGCAACACTAACTAGCGAAACTATGGATTTATCCAACACAATGTAATTATATAAGCAAATATTACGCATGTCTAAAGTATTTTTATATAAATTACATATAAA